CACGCATTTCGGAAACAGAGATAATTTATATGTGTAATATAGCCAGCAATTCCATTAGCAAGGAAAACACGTGCCCCAGCCCCACGGGCTAGCAAGTGGGTAAGCAGTGGGATACCAGGAGCAACTGCCTGGTGATGAACTGAAGTGCATCCATCTTCTAAATGCTCCAGGGAGAATTCTTAAGAAATGCAGCACAATTATGGAAAGTCGTGCACTGGAAGACACATGTGAGACAGGTCACAGAACCAAAGCAAAACAATTCAGACAAACAGCTTCCACTGTTGCCAATTCAAGACGAATACTGCCCGAGATCAAGTATAAGTTCTTGAGCAAATAACTGTTCTTCCAGCAGTGAAACCTCTACCCTTTCCAGCTATGTTTGAGTCTAACAAATAGTACTGAAGCCTCCCAAGATAAGAAGTATTCCACAGTTAGGGTCAGGTTCAAAGGATTCTGACATTAGATGTTCACTTATTTTAAACTTTTGCACCAAAATCAGGCAAATTAGGAGGGTCATTAATTACAAAGAGAAAATGTTTAATCTTAAAGCACAGAAAGATGTCAGACATCACCTCAACCAAGAGGTCAAAGTTAACATTCACCACTGATAAAATATATCTACATCACATGCATTCCAATGTGATGCACTGAGGGCAAACTTCACCGCTGTGGTATTCTTGCCAAAAATGCCTAACCCTCAATTTAATCCTGAAAGAACATGACACAAATTCAAACCCACTAACATTCTACAAAATAACTGACCAGTACTCCTCAGAAGTATCAAGGTCATGGAATATAAACCTGTAAGGAACTGTCACAGATTGGAAGAGACTACAGAGGCATGATAACTAAATGCAATGTGGGATACTGGATTGGATGCTGAACCAGAAAAAGCACAGCAGTGGTGAAACTCAAATCAAGTCTTTAGATTAATTGTATCAACTGCCCGGTTTTGGTAACTGCACTACAGTTACATAATGTGTTAACAAAGAGATCTGGTTAGAAGATATATAGAACTCTCTGGACTATTTCTGAAATTTTTTTGTAATTCCAAAATTATTTCAAAGTAAAAAGTTTTTAAAAATCATTTAAGATGCAAGATAAAAAGGTATGGGGATCGCTCATTAACTCTAACATAAAAATATGCTAGCTACCTCCTCCAATAACTATGCTTAAAAAAATTCCAATAATTGCAACTAAGGTGTAAACTGGAATAAATGGCAATTATTCAATAAATGCCCAAGACTGGGATCATCTAGAGAGCAGAGTAACTTTCCAGGTAAATGACCTACCTTACTTTCCCCCTTACTCCTTTTTAATTCAACTTACATTTCTTCAATATCTATTACAGGCATATAATCTGTGCTTGGGCCCGATAAGATTTTGATATGTAAGAAAAGAACATTTTAGTACACAAAACAACACAGAAAAGCATAGAAAAACAAAGCTAGAAGTAACTTTTTACTTCCATACAACCTAGCAATCAACCTGGACACGCTTTTCAGTGTGAGTGTTGGTAAGACTGGGGGCTCTCACAGCTCATGTGTAGCCCCTTCAATAGTAAGTGGCTCTGACCACTAGAATTGTCTCCAAAAATTACCCTTGAATATGCCAAAATGACTCTGAGAAATACTCCATTTCCAGTCCTTTTTTATTTTTCATCTAATCATATGTTGTTTATGCATTACTGTTTGTGATACAAAATTTAAAAACTTGATTCTCTGAGTACCAGGGAAAAGGTTAGGCGGGTAAAACCTGCAGAGGTTTACTTACTCTCCTCTTATGAGAGATCAAAGGCAACATCAGGTGAGGCCAGGGTTCCCGAAGTGTGGCCTCAGAGCCAGCAGCTTCAACATCACCCAGGCACCTGTCAGGAGTGCAAATTCCCAGTCCCAGCGCAGGCCTGCTGAATCAGAGCCCCTGGGTGATGCCCAGCATCTGTGTTTTCACAAGCCCCCCAGGTGACTCTGATGCACCTTAAATTTGAGAACTATTGATGCTTCAAAGAGCAGAAAGCCTAGCCTATAAATCAGGGGGCCTGATTCTAATCCTTGTTCTGCCACTAATTTCTGAGACATGTTTGTCACTTAGATTCAGGGGGCTCAGCCCTCTCATCAGACAATGAGAGAATGAAAATAGATCACTGCCACAGTCCTTATGCCCTCTAAAATGGGACAACTCTATGAGGCCTAAAAGTGAAAAGAGAACCACAGCGATTTCTCTTTCATCAAAATGAAACAATTAAAATTTCTCCCTTTCATCAACTGGTCTCTGAATCATATTTCTTATTATTTTAAATAAAACTGCGTTAACTTTGCTTTAGTGAAAGCCATATAAACTCTAATTTTACAGTTTCCTATTTAGTTGTGTATCAAGTCTATTTTGGAGGAGTTCCACATAATAACAAGACTTCCAAGAAACCTACACTACAGACTGAATTATAATTCCCGCCCCCAGCCCCCAGCCCAAATTCCTACGGTGAAGCCCTACTCCCCAGTGTGACAGTATTTAGAGACAGGGCCTCTGGAAGGTAGGTTTACCTGAGGTCATGAGGGTGAGGCCCCCAAGATGGGATCAGTGTCCTTACAAGAGGAAGAGAGACCAGAGTTCTCTCGCTCTCTGCCACGTGACAACAGAGCAAGAAGGTGGCTATCCGCAAGCCAGGAAGATTCCCTCAGCAGGAATTGGCACCTTGACCTTGGACTTCTCAACCTCCAAAACTGTGATAAATAAATGTTTGTTGTTTCAGCTACCCAGCCTATGGTATTTTGTTATAGCAGCAAGAGCTAAGACACTCAAATGTCCCCTCTGGTGTGGGGATCTAACACGCCAAGTTACAGTGCAGAACTGTGCTCCATGACCTCTCATAATGACTGTGATCGAACCACAGGAAGTATTTACAAGCAAGAAAATCAAAGAATTTTAAAATGTATAGCTCTGGATATTTCCATTACTACACAGCTTTCATTTATCCTCCTGTTCATGGATTTATAAACTGGGATGCTTCTCGCAACCTGTATTACCTGTGAAACAAATCTCTTCTTAGAGGGGCTGTGAGAGAGGGAGGTGAATCAAATAGAAGAGTCTGTTTTATAGAAGAGAGTTCTCCTCTAATAAAACAAACCTAATTAGAATGAATGTTGGGGAAAATGTCCCATCAATCAAGTGAATAGCCATTAACCCTTAAGATCTCCACTCAACTATATCCTGAAAGCTCTCATCACTCCTACCCCAGCAGTGATCATTTCCTCTGTGCTCCCGTATCTCCATTTCAGCACTTGGCAAAAGGCATTACATTTGTTTACGTATCTGTCTCCTCCAACGGACCTTGAAATCATCTAGGGCAATGTGTTACTCTCTCCTGCACTAAAATGGTGTCTGGCATGAAGCAGGAACCAGTGATTATTAAGTGGAGCCACTTTGCTTTGTTAAACACCACTGGAACTCTGTCCTATCTTGCAGCTTTTGTGTAAATCTGAAATTATTCCAAAATAACAGTTTTTTTTGTAAAAAAGGCACCAATAGCAACTGCGCTATCAGCAATCATCACAACTGTCTTACACGTCGTGTAAGAAGACATTAGCTACTACAGAGCCTTGCCTTAGCAGGTTTTGTTTGTTTCTTCGTTGCAGCACTAGGGATCATTCGTTGCAGCATGCCGGCTTCTTAGTTGCAGCTTGCCAGCTTCTTAGTTGCGGCATGCATGCGGTATCTAGTTCCCGGACCAGGGATCGAACCCGGGGTCCCCTGCATTGGGAGCACAGAGTCTTACCCACTCGACCACCAGGGAAGTCCCCGCCTTAGTGTTTTCCAGACGTGACACTAGGAGTTAGTAATTTCAAATGTAGCAAACTTGAAGAAGAATGAATAACAAACATTTGAGATTTGAATCCAGACGCTAACTTTGGTCAAGTTATTTAATCTGGGTCTCAGTTGGTGGAAAGGGGTTAATTCCTGCTCTACAAACTGCTGTGCTAAATAAAGTATACAGCGTATATATCAAATGAGCTCTCCTAATGATGTTCTAGTCAATAGACAATCAGCGTCCTTCCCTGCACGGTGTTCCAGCTGGACTAACACCTCGCCGCAGAACAGGTGCACACTGTAATTAGTTCCACGGGCACGAGCTGTAACGTTATACCTCAGTCACCATTAGGGTTATGGTTACCTATAAAATAAATCCTACTCGTTTGTCCCTGGATGCCAACTCTGCCAAGATATCCCACTCCAGAATTCCCCCTTGAAAATAAACAAGCTATTCCCACCTCGACGCAGCCGACAGGGGTCAGCCGCTCCTGCCACCCGCCTCCACCAGACTGGTCCCCAGAAAGCGGACAAGCACACACAGGACGTGCCCGCTAGCTGGGAAGAGGGGTACCCGCTGCTGCAAAAAGTGGTGTGCGGCAGCCTGGGGTCTCCGTCCAGGGCAGAGCGGCTGAACCCGAGCGGCTAGGACCCTCCCTTCCAGTCGTGCCGCTCTCGGGCACCAGCGCTCCAGACCGCTGCCCGGCCGGCGTCCTAAACGGAAGCCGACGCTGGTGGCAGCGGCGCGGCTCCGGGAGACCGGGAGGGGGCGGGCAGCCGGAGGAAACCGACACGCGGCAGCTCGTGTGCGTTTCACTCGGGGGAAGCCTGGCGGTGAGAAGCGCCCGACCGCGGGCAGGGGCGCGCAGAATCGCCGCCTCCGCCCTGACAGCCAGGCCCGTGTGAGTCGGGCCTGGGGGAGAGGAGCGGCTGACGGCGTGGAGCCCGGGCGGCCGCGAGGCCGCGCGGGCGGCGGGCGTGTGTCGGGTGAGTCTGGGCGGCGTCGGGAGGAACCGGCGAGCGGGGAGGGGCGGAGGCGGGGGGAAGGGGGGAGGAGGAAGAGCGAAGGGCCCTGGCGGGGCTCCTGGCGCCCAGCCGCCCGGGCCCGGGCCCTCAAGCCACCGCCCCCAGGCCCCACGCTGACGCTGGACGGTCCCCGCCTCCAAACCCCCCGCCCCGGCCAGAGAATAACTTACCTGTTTGCCGACGGAATCGCTCCTGCTAGCCCCTCTGACTGACTCCTCCGGCTCACCGTCTTCCCTCTGGGAGGAAGGGGCGGGACTTCCTGTCTCTCCGCTGAGCGACTTCCGGCGGTCTTCGGGCCGACTCCTTCGTGGACTGCGCGCCGGACACCATGACCAAAAACCAGGATCCTGGAACTGGATTAGTAAAACCCACATCGAGTTCCCTTTTTCTGTCCCGACTGGCCGGGGCACCTATGTGCCTCTTTTTTTTTTTTTGGTCTGTCAGCTCTCGCCGGAAGTTGCTAGGAGATGGGACCGGAAGTCCCGCCCCTCCGCAAGAGAGGAAAACGGAAAGCCGAAGAAGTCAATCTAAAGAAGGGGAGATGCGTCCGGCTGGAAGTGTCTGAGCCGGAGGGCCAAGTGGCGTTTGGGGAGAGTCCCCAAGCGGATTCCTCTGGACATTCCGCCCCTTCCGTGTCCCATGCCTCGTCACCCCACCCCCGTCCCCCGCCCGCCCGCCGTAGAGGACCCCCGGGGGCGGCGCGTGAGCGCAGCGGGCAGCGCGGGGCGAGCGGCCGCTGCCCTGGGCCTTCCGGGCCCCCAACGGTGCCCGGCGCTTCTAGGCGCCCGTCTACGGGGACACGGTTTCTCTGCTGGGCCAGGCGCGTGCGCAACCCTAGATGTTGAGGACAATCTGTCGGTGGACTCCAAGAAAGGATCCTCGGAGTCACGGGCCGCAGGGAGCCACGAGCCGAGTTCCGATACTAAAGGGGAGGCAGAGCACCGAGTGTGGTGGCCGGCCAGTTTGGCAATAAAAGCCGAAAACGCCCTAGGTGTTTAAAAAGCCCCCGCCGGACCGTTTTTATTAACGGTAGCGACGCAGCGCAAGAATTGTTAGGAAGAAAGTAAGGCACGACCGAAGCGTGGTCGTCCCCGCCGCCGCCTGCCTCTCTTGCGGGAGCATCCGCGGACCTGAAGCTTACAGCCCTTCCCCGGAAACTCCAGATCCAGGAAGGAAGACCGCGGCTTGCAAAGTGCTCTGAGGGACACCTATATAGAGATGAGCGGCGACATCCCACTTGCGATCAGCTTGAGACATCGCTTGCTCAGCAGTTTTGACTTTATCTTGTAGGTATAGGGAAAGCTCTTAAATAATTGGATTTGTAAAATTTTAGGTAAACGGAGTTTTTAAAGGATGGCCCTGTAATAATGATGGTAGGCTTTCTAAACCAAACCCATCTCTCAAGGCCAGTTCCAGCTCAACGCTATTTAAGTCAGAATATTCAGGTGATAATAACGTTTTAAATACTGGTTTACAGAGTACTTTTCATAGACATTATCTGGTCGAATTTTTACTGTAATCCACATGAATTCTCATGTCCGTCACCCACAACAGGAAGTTGTAATTTAGAAGAGTTAAATAACTGTTCCAAGATCACACAGCTAGTAAAGGTGGAACTCACTTTTCAAACTCCAGAGTCAGCCTTTTCCAGTCCACCTTGCATCTTTTAATGAATAGCTAGTTCAAGAGTGTTAGTCTTGGATGAGAAGGTGATGAATTTCTCAACACTTAAGAGTAGCTAGCACTGTTTTCCATGTTGAAGAGGCATTCTGTTGATTTGTAGGAGATTGACCTTGCTACCTTTCTTACCCTGGGACCTGAGTTAACGTTGTGTCTTCCTTCTTTGAGCAGCGAGTTTATTTTTCTTCTGAGTTTATTTTTCAGTTCCCCATCATGCAGTATTTTACTGAGACAGGACCTTTGCATCATACAGTGACCTTAAGGGAGTCAACCTGACTTCCTCGTGTATAAAATTAGTCATTTAGGGTAAAGTTCCGGTCTTTCGTCATTCTGTTAATAGAAGAGGCTCTAAAATTCCTAAGGCACAGTAATGGTGTCCAATACTGTTACTCTCATTAAAACATTTAAAAGACTGTTCCATTAGATAATACTAACATAGGTTTATTAAGCACCTACGTGTCATGCGATGCTCAAGAGAATCCAGGAATATAGGAAAAATTTGCTTTTCTGTGTCTTATTAGAAAATTTATATATCATATATATATCCTTTATATATATATTATATATATGTATATATATATATATATATATAATAAAGCTCCTTTGGAGCTTCTTTAAGACATGTTTGCCAAAGATGATGTCTTTCCATTACTTCTGGCCTCCATTTTTTCCTGATGAGCAGAGGTCATTCAGATGTTTTTCTCCCTTTTATGTTTCCCTGTATGTAATTTGTCATTTTTCTCAGGCTACTTGCAAAATTTTCTCTGTATTTTTGGCTTTCAGCAATCTGATTGTGATGTACCTAGGCATGATTTTCTTCATATTTATACTATTTGGTGTTTTCTGAACTTTGAACACCTGTAACTTTATGTGTTTCACCAAGTTTGGAAAATTTGGGACCATTATTTCTCCAAATACTGTTACTTTTCACCATTCTCTCTTTTTCTTTTGAATTTCAATTAAATATATATTACGCCTCTTGATACTATACATAACTCACTGAGGCTGTGTCCTTTTTTGTTTTGGTTTCATTCTTTCTCTCTCAGGCCCTCAGATTGGATTCTTACTGATCTGACTCTTCTGTCATCTCCAATCATCTGTTAAAAGCAGCTGGTGATTTTTTTGTTCTTAATTCAGATATTGTATCTTTTAGTTCTAAAATTTCTGTTTTGTTCTGTCTTACCATTTCTGTTTCTCTGCTGAGATTCCCTATTGGTTCATTTACTAAAGGCATATTTTCCACTGTGTCTTTGAGCAAAGTTATAATAGCTGCTTTGACATATTTGTCTGCTAATTCCAGCATATGAATCATCTTGGGGTTAATCTTCATTAATTTGGTCTTTTCTCTTGTGAGTCATGTTTCCCTTTTTCCTGAATGCCCAGTAATTCTGGTTGTATCCTAGATATTTGAGTAATATAACGTAGAGACTCTGAATTCACTTCTGTTCTTCTGAAGAGGTTGGTTGTTGTCGTTGCTGTTTTAACAGGGAGTTGTTCTGGCTGTACTGCTACTCCTTAACTTTGTCTCTCCTGTCATGGTAGCAGCTGAAGTCACATTCAGTCCCCTCAGCCTTAGCCAAGAGGCTTTCGTCCGCCTCACACAGGCATGGTTCAGAGGTCATCCAGAGACGTAGGCAGGGCGTGCAGAATGCACTGCTTCCCCTCTGTGACTGTCCTTTCCTGAACCTCTTCCCCTCACTCTGTAGGAGCCCTGAAGTCTGCCTTCCAGTTTTTCAAGTGGGGTTTTAAATAAAATTTAGATAGCTGCCTTTATTTGACTATAATTATTTAAAATTTGAAAGGAAGCATTGGTCATTTTTGGTGACTAACCATTCTTGATGACTCATTTACTTTAACAGTGTCATTTAAAGTTCTAATTTCCTTTAAGTTAACATTTTCTGCCACTACAGTCACATGCCTACCTACAGTAACAATGAGAGTAGGCTAGGAACACTTAACCACCTGCGCTAGGATTTTAAATCTAAGTTCTCTTTGAATGCTGTTTTGGTGAATTTCAATGTGGGAGGTGAGATGATGTAAAACTTCATATTTTCTATTATAGTCAAAGGCATAATTTCTCTGACATCTTTTTTCATTCTCAATAAGAAATTACACTAGAATAATTTTTTAAATAAAATTTTTCCACGTAGTGACAATTTTTTTTCTCTTCAATCTACCTAGTCAAAGAAAGCTCAGAAGCATTTATTTACTTATCATAACTGTTAAGAAATTATAGTCATTAATCCGTTCTCTTCCACATCATGCTGGAAAGAAAAAGAACACTTTGCTTCAGAAAATCTGTATTTCTGGCTTTATTTCATCGACTGATTGAGCCTTTGGACAGCTGAACAAAGAACACCCCCAAGCCAGCCTCAGCCTCCCAGAGCTTGCTTCCCAAACAAGAAAGTTGTTTTGATATAGTAAAGAGAGAGATTATCTTTCTTAGCAGTTAAGTGGCCTGCGATATAGAATGCAGATGTTAAAGAGCTGGTCAGTGGAAGAACAGAAATGATATGTGCAGGTATTAGGCCCGGGTTTAAGTTTGCTGCTTGTCATGAACAGCAGTGGTATTACAGATAGATAATAGAATTATGCTAGATTTAACCATAGGTACATTACCACTGAAACAAATATTTTATTTCATCTTACATAAGTACACAACTCATTATTTAACTGTTTGTCTACTACATGTTCAGTTAGTATTCAAACTTGAATTGAAACATAAAATTTAAAAATAATAGCTAGATGGCATTGAATACATATAACACTAGATATTTAAAATAGTATAGTATTTAAAAATCATTTGGACCTATCATAAAATGGTATTTGTTCGGGGGCTTGTTGTGTTTTTTTTGGTTGTTTTTTTTTTTGCGGTACGCGGGCCTTTCACTGTTGTGGCCCCTCCCGTCGCGGAGCACAGGCTCCGGACGCGCAGGCTCAGCGGCCATGGCTCACGGGCCCAGCCGCTCCGCGGCACGTGGGATCTTCCCGGACCGGGGCACGAACCCGTGTCCCCTGCATCGGCAGGCAGACTCTCAACCACTGCGCCACCAGGGAAGTCCGGGGCTTGTTTTTTAAGTGAGAGTTACTTATCAGAAGTGAGAAGCCAAATACAACTGTATTATTTGTGAGCTTCCTTCTTACTCTGCGTCTGAGAAACTTACTGAGCACATATTATGGGCCAGGCACTATGCTCAGCACAGCTGCTCCTCAGCTCAGCGGGCTGTCACCCTGCACTAACCGCAGATGGTTCTGACTGCTCAAGAGGAATCATTTGGGTGAGGTCTGCTGATTTTGAGATGCTGGCATCCAATTCAGAAGTGCTTAGAACAACGTGAAGGCCACGTGAAACGCACTGAAGGCAGCCGTGTGGGGCTCACGGCTGCTGGTTTGTGGCCCCTGCGCAGACAAGTGCTGCCTGGGAGGATACACAGGCGCTGTTATCGGTCGATGGCACCTCAGCATGACTTGTTTCATGTGCTTTTTCCCAGTGCTAGCTGCTCCCAAGACGGTTTCAACTAGGAACGATGTGAGGCAAAGAGCATAAAGATAGAAGTCCAGGCCAGGGAAAGCCCAAAAATGCAGCTGTGGAACCAAGAGGAGGATTTTAGCGTGCAATATTGAGCACCTACTGTGTGCAGTGCATTTCACTGGACCCCTGAAGTACAGAGATGAGTTGGAAATGGAGGACAAAGAGATTGGAGATAGAGAATATTTAAAAATTTTACCTGGCCTCCTGGCCAATAAGCGGGTAGATTGCTATCACCCGTATGTGTGTAACTGGCCTGAAAATACTTCCCTTCTGACTCCAGATCACAGCAGAACCCAGGTAGGCACCTGGCTTGGGGCCGGGTAGAAAACCCAGATGGACCTGGGAGAGCTAGGGACACTCATCGTGACCCCTAGAGGCAGAAAACCATGGCTCTGCACCCAGACATTCCAAGGTTGGGATCTCCTAGACTCAGTGACCTCAGCCTTTGTCCTGCCTTTCTTGCCTGGTGGTAGCTGAATAATTAACCAGACGTTGCAGGTCTCAGAGATTCAGCAGGAACGTAGATCAGTGAATGAGTAATCTTATAATTTAGCTGCTTGGTAAAACAAACTGATGTTACATTGCTCAGAAGTGGTTACAACACATTTTAACCAGCCTTGTTAATTGACTAATATGAACACCCTTTTAAAAATATAAATGGGGATCATAAACTTCTTGTATATTTAGTTCTTGAGAAGTCTGCCAAATACACCAGTTAGGTCCTACAAAATCCAAAATGTCACAAGATCGTATGTAATCTGGCAAGCATAAACCAAGCTTAATAGCAAAAAAATATCAAATTCCTGCCCATACTCAACAGACAGCATTTAAATGTTCTCCAGCATCAGAGGAAAAGTGGCTAAAGCCTCAGCTGGGTCCCATTTCTGTGACGCAGTTCAGGACAAGCCGAATTACTGGCCCTCTGGTCCAGCCATTTTAGATGAGGTGCAGCAAGTTTTAAAACTGACATTTCAAGGACCCATGAAGCAATGGAATGTGTTATGCTTGTTTTTTATTTAGAATCATGAGAAACATTTTTAACAAACCTTTAAATTCTTCTCCATTAATGTGATTTAAATAATTTATAAAGATTAAATCTGTTTGTTTAAATATACTCAACTGTAGAAAAATTTCATTTTTTTGTTTGTTTACACTGTCAAATCCAATCAAGCCAAACAAGATGGTTAACTAAAATGATTAATGAACCCAGCATTAGCTGATGGCTTTAAATGTAGAATGTGTTACTGATGTCAGGGTTGATTAGCTCTCTATCTAAAACCGATGCTATTAAAAGCTTTGAGCAATTTATTAGATGTAGTCACTGAGCACAGTTCCAGCAGGGTGAGAGAAATTCTATCAGAATTAATTCTGCTGTGGCGCATTGACAGGTGCACAGATGTTGAAGAGAGAGCAAGGAGGCCTTCACTGACGGGGCAGGAAGAAAGAAGAGGCTGCAGGAGGGGCAGTCGGTTGGCATCAATTGCAGCAAAGGTAAAGAGGCTTGGAACCTAAAAAGTACTCATTTTCGCACAAGGAATCCCAGATGGCATAAGCATATGAATATTGATCATTTCCATTTCAGCACTTTTGAAGAAGCAGGAAAAATAAATGAAGGGGAAGCAAGAGGTTAATGCGGTATCATGCTTTAGTAACTCCTCTAAAAATGAGCCCACAGGGAAATTACAGTAGGCAGTGCTGGAGACCAACGTGTTTGTCAATAAGATAAAGGGCACAAGTGGTAAAAGCAGGGGTGATGTAGGATGGACAGTCACCGGATGGGATGACTGTGTGTCAAGCACTTAGAGGCCTAGAGCACAAACTGCAGTGATTACACCAATCAAATTGCAAGCGGAGAATCTCATCAGAGACTTGTCCTCATCCTGAAGGGTACCGTGAGTCCAGGCCTGGGGCAGCCGCAGCAGGACTCAGGGAAGTCAGGTTGTTGAAGGTGGCTGTGGCTTTAGAAAGGTGTGCACGGTGACACAAAACCACGTCTGATGTCTGCGCCTTGGAAATATTTTATTACTGGTCCAGATGTCCAAGGGAAAACATTATTTTGGGGACCAAATTCCTCTGAATAGTTAGATTTTGTTCCTGCCCAGGGTTGTGTGAAAGGGGATCTGTCAGTAGGTCAGGCCTAGGCTGGAAGATTCCTACCATGATTAATGCAGCTTAGCCATCTCTAGGAAAAAGGCAGCAAATAATTTGGATCCCTCTATGTAATTCCACCTAACAAAAGAAATAGAGACACTGTTATTCCCATTCAGATGACAGAGGGAAAGTAGTCTACAGTTTAAACAGGAAGACTTGATGACAGAAATTGCATCTGAAGTATGCAGCCTGTCTGGAGGTTACCGGTGTGAGGACCCAGGCTTGTGCAGTGAGGGGTGAGCGCCTACAGGACTCACTAACCTGTTGATTTTCTCTTTCTGAGAGTGCTCTCCATCATCCACAGCGCCCAGCGGGAGCATCATCACACTCTTCTGGATGGTATCCTGGAATATTTTGGCAATGGGTATGGTTGATCCATCTCGGATCATGTCTGGCTCTGTCCCAAACACTGAATGAAACACAGGAAAAGAAGGCATTTGAATAAAATAATGACAAGACTACCCCCAGTAATCTCAAAGGTAGTGTTTGCTTTGTCTTTTTCTTCTTCTTTGTTTTAATCATTAAATTTGATACTTGGGTTCGGTAAGCTTCTTGATTTCACATAATTTATGTTCTAAAATCATCAACAGAGTCAAGAAGAAAACTGTGGTTGCCTTCTTTACGATTATCTACTTTTAAACTTTTTTTATTTATTTTGGTCATGCAGCATGCGGGATCTTAGTTCCCCAACCAGGGATCAAACCTGAGGCCCCTGCAGTGGAAGTACAGAGTCTTAACCACTGGACCACCAGGGAAGTACAATTATCTACTTTTTAAAAATATTTTTAAATTTGTATTTTGAACTAATTTTATACTTACAGAAAAGTTGCAAAAACAGTACAGAGTTCCCATATATCCTTTACTTTCCCTAATGTTAACATATAACTATTGTACAATTATCAAGAATAGGAAATTAACATTGGAATAACATTATTAAGTAGACTCAGACCTGATTGGAATTTTACCACTTTTTCCCTTTCTCCATACCAGGATTGAATCCAGAATCCCACACTGCATTTTGTCATTGCTTCTGAGTCTCTTCTAGTCTGTGACAGGTTGTCAGCCTCTCTTTGACTTTCGTGAACTTGACCCTCTCGTAGAGTACTGATCAGTTGTTTTGTAAAATGTCCCTCAGTTTAGGTTTGTCTGATGCTTTCTCCTGATTGGAGGAAGTCATGCATTTTTGGCAGGAGCGGCACAAGATGGTATGCCCACTTCTATGGTTGCTGCATGAATTAAATATTGGGAAGGTGGGACTTCTTTGTTTTTTTGTTTGTAACCAATATACAAATAAATAGCTGTACTCAACGGTCACCTGAATGTCTCAGCGTTTGTGCTCAACTTTCAAGGTATCCCAGGAAATAGTTTTAACGGATATCCTAGGGTCTGGAAAGAGATGAGTTCAAACCCTCTAGGCTAGAGGACAAGTTGCTGGTGACAGAGCAGGAGTGAAAAATGAAACAGTTGCAAGAGAGAGCGTGCCCGACCTTCTTTACCCACAGAGCAAGGTGTGAATGTGAATAAAGATGATGGACTTTGTTAGCAGAACTGGTCCAGCACACAAACAGGCCCAAAGGTGCCCATGCCTTCCTGCAAGAGTACGTCAGGCCTTGACATTTCAACCACACGCCTCTCTTCAGGGGCATTACATTTATCTTCCTAACCCTTCTTCCTCTTTTCTTCACTCCAAAATTGGCAAAATGCTGCTACAATTGGGACAGTAGGAATGATTATGCAGAGAAGCACGGCTCTAGGTCTTGGACTTGTCCTGTGATTGTTAATGTCTGTGTCCTTGTAGTGATAATCCTGACAGACAGTGAGGGCTCCAAGGAGGTCTGGACCCCCAGTTCCAGCTCCAGCATCTCTGGGGGTATGGCCCAAGGCCCAGCTGTAATATAGTGCATAGTCTATATAAACACTTGCCGCCTAACGTTTGGAGAGACCCCAAAACTCCCCCTGCTTTTAGGAGAGCCCCCCACTTTGCAACTGTTGGCAGTGTCCCATTCCTGCCGCAGAAAAGACTGGCTGTTCCCCCTCCCCGGGCAGCCAGAAGCCCAGGCCTGTGTCCCTGCTCACCAATCATGTATCCTGTCCAGGACTTTGAAATACATGAAGTCAAAACAGGCACCGCTGAGGAAATTACAAATAAAGCTATTCCCTACCTCTGGAGAAGCAGAATGGCATTGTAAAAAGACCGCTGGTTTTAGAGGCGGATAGGCTGGAATTGAGTTTTCTCGTGTGTTCTGTAATTTTATACAAAGAGCACATATCCAGGAAGCTTCTTCAGTGCAAAGCTCACATGGCCTGCCTTGGGGCCGTCTGCACCAGCCAGGCAGTCCAGGATGGGCTTGGGAAGAACACGACCACACACAGTAATTAAAGACCCAAACCCATGCCAAGACAGGTCCATGGTTCAAAACTCTCAGGGGAGACCCTGTGTTCACCGAAAACCCAAGCAAGGACGGCCAAGTTTACACACACACACCCCGTCCAGGGTGAACGTGGCTCTTGGAACGAGGCCTTTATGTAGTGGGTCTCGTTGTCTGCTTCGTGCTGACCCGAAACCACTAAAACCCACACCTCCTTGTGAGCAGGAAGAACAAGTCCCCGCAGGGCGGCCCATGTCAGCTTGCTCACTGCACTACATTTGAGCTCCTTCATTGTTAATCCCAGAAGATTTCCTTTACTTTCATGCGAGTTCAGCTGTGCCTTTAAAAGGATGTTTTCAAATGTTGGTCATCATTTCCAGGAGTATTGGAGGTTTTCAAGTCCATCATTTTGCCCCAAATTCAAATCTCCTGGTGTGAGCTTAAACCCTGGCTTTGCCACTAATAGCTGGGTGCCCTTCAGCAAATTACTGAAATGGTGAAGGGCATTGGTGCTGAAGAACCTAGGGACAGGTGCTGAAGAACCTAGGGGCAGGACAGGAATAAAGACGCAGACGTAGAGAATGGACATGAGGACACAGGGAGGGGTAAGGTTAAGCTGGGACGAAGTGAGAGAGTGGCATGGACATATATACACTGCCAAACGTAAAACAGATAGCTAGTGGGAAGCAGCTGCATAGCACAGGGAGATCAGCTCGGTGCTTTGTGACCCCCTAGAGGGGGGGGATAGGGAGGGGGGGAGGGAGGGAGACGCAAGAGGGAAGAGATATGGGAACATATGTATATGTATAACTGATTCACTTTGTTATACAGCAGAAACTAACACACCACTGTAAAGCAATTATACTCCAATAAAGATGTTAAAAAAATTTTTTTAATAAAAATATCTGAAGTCCAACCTGTTTTGATGGCTCTTTTTGCCGCAAGATACTGATTATCTCTGATATTTGCAACCCACGGGTGTAGTCCTAGCGTCATAGATACAGTCATCTGGTTGGAGCTATTTCTTTTGGAGAATATATAGTCAAGATGCTGCTTCACCTAAAAGGAACATTTTCAGGTGGAAAAGAAAATTTCAAGTTATTCTCTCATACCATGAACATACAGTCGTCTTTCAACAAGAAACTGATGAAATCTCAACCCAACAAATTCAAGTATTTGGGTTTTACCTTAGTTCTTCCGGAGGGATGGCGTGGAGTGAGCAGGGCTCCAGGCCTGGGAGCTTCGCCAGTGGGAGGAACGCGAGCTCTCACTCCCCTTCTGTCCCCAGACCCTCCAATCCCAGCTCTGACCCTCCCCATACTCACCAGGGTGTCTGACTGTTAACGTTTGGTTATTATGAATTTTGGTAATTATGAAACACAATACAAGTACAACTTCTCCATCTGACGACTGACCACTCTTTTTGGACTTACCAGTACCTTAATGACTCTTATGGGGAATACCATGCATTTGGAAATTTCTGAGAAGTGGAAGCAGTTCCAAGCTAAGCTGTGAAGGACCCGTGTCACCAGCGCCCTTCTCTTTCTTGGCTCTGTTCCAGCTGCTACTCCGGAAATCCTCCGAGAACAACTCCATACTCTAAAATAGCCCTTCCAGGGACTTCCCTGGCGCTCCAGCGGTTGGGACTCCGCGCTCTCGCTGCCAAGGGCCCAGTTTCAATCCCTGGTCGGGGGGAACTGGGACCCCACAGGCCGCGTGGCGCGGCAAAAAAAAAAGAAAAAAAAAATCTTTCCAATATTTGCTTCAACCAATATTAATGGACGCCTGTCATGTGGCAGGAACTGTTCTGGGTGCTGGGGTCACAGCTGTGAGCATGACCAGGACAGTCCTGCCCTCGTGGAATTTATATGTTGTAGACAGAGGGACAAAAAGGGAGGGAGGGAGGGAGGATGGAGACTATTTTAGGATGTAATCAGCACTGAGAAGACAGTGAAAGGGACAGTGGGATAGACGGCGATGGGATGAGGTGCGTCCTGAGCTTATTTATTCAGAGTCTACTTGCTGTTAGACTTGAGGTAAACTGATGACTGGTGGATAACTGAGACATGCACTCCCTCCAGATAAGGAACGTTTTCATTAAAATGGCTGCTTTCAGAGTGTAGATTTCAGACATCACAGACAAACTGATCACTGCAGCTTGAGATGTCCCAGCTCAGCCCAGCCGTAGGCAGTTAGCTTCTCCATCTGGGTGTAAAACCAATCTTGCCTTCATAGCTACCATTTAATTTTTTAAAATTTCCCATCACTCCAACTCCAAACGGTTACTTATCTGACTACTATAACTGTGTATAATTGAGCAAAGAGATTTTTACCGAACAAAAATTTATCAGTTTCTTGACATTCCCTTTTGTTCCAGTCCCTTTTGTATTGGAAAAAAAAAAAATACTTCAATGCGAACAGCTGAACTGCCCGCTAAACTGTGGTGTGCGGCACTCAGAAATGGCACTGCCACTGGGCAGGAGAACAACGCACGCTGGTTACCTGCTTCTCCACCACAGATATATTCATGTGAGGGACCAGACGGATTGAAAATTTTCCTATCACTCGGCCAGGGATGACTGTTTTGGCTCCAGGCTCATGAAACGCGCCCTCGATCCCATGAATAGAAAGAGATGGGTATCTCCACAGGTGCATCAGAAGTTCCTCCTAAAGTAAAATAAAATCGTTTTACTATATAGAGGAGTGTTTAGTTAAAACCCAGTTGAATTATATTGCTTGTATCACCAATTTCTGTACATCTGTGACACCATTCATGACAAGTTAATTAGCACCTTACTTAGATATGTCTGGACTAATAGTACAGGTGGACTTTTCCCTCAGGACCTGAGGCCCTCTGCTGCTTTCACCTGCCCTAGCTGCTTCCACTGACAAGGGCCCCTCACCACTCCAGCTCTGAAGTTTGCAGTTAATAGATGGCAGAGGGGCCCTTTCCAAACCTGGGGTTCAATTGTAAATTTCTATCCCCAGTCATTGCCATGATAACTTATATGCTAAATGCATTTTATTTTCCAGAAGGTTTCAAAGAAATCTACAGACATTTGAGCCAGTGGCCACCAGAGAGCTAGTCTGAGGCAAGAGACATACTTCATAAGAGTAAACTCCCCACTTGTATTCGGCATTTTTCCCTCTCCTGGAGCGTCTGCCCAGGAGCCAGCCAGAGCTACCAAACACCACAGCAGGCAAGGGTCTTTTTTGTTTGTTTGTTTTGGGTTTTGTTGTTGTTGTTGTTATTTTAAGGAGGAGGAGAAGTAGAAGGGAAAAGAACAAAATCTAAATTTACCAGTAGCCAATGCTTTGGGCTCTGGGTTTACTTACTACACTCAAACAGCAACGTAGCAATTTACACATTAGCCCCGTAAAGCTCTTGGTTTTGTCTTTTAAAAAATGAATAATTAGGGGTCTTGGAGCTGAAATGATCTCAGTCTATTCTCAACCTTTAAACAGACAGATAGGAAGCTCAGCCCACTGGCTGAGGGCTGGCGTGAGGTTGAGTCTCATAAGCCAGTTTGGAAACGCACGGCTGTGAAGTGAATCACTGCCCTGTGGTTAGGCGCCTGAGGCCGGTGCCAGACGGACCCCAAGAAAAGGACCAGTTGATCTAGACCACGAGGACCACGAGGTTTCGTGAAGCGAAACCTGCCCCCGATTAGCATGTGCTCTCAGCTCTGAGATGTGCAGAAGAGCAGCACATAGCAAACTAGGCACTGGGAAAATACGGGTTTTCATCGTTCCTCTCTCAGGTTACCCGTCAACGTGTGACCTACCTTGGTGTCAAACAGAAATTTCTTAACCTGGCTGCTGTTCCGGTACTCCTCGAGGTCCAGATCGATGGCTTCGTATGTTCTCTTTTCCTCCTCTGTAACAGGAGCCACGTGGTCATAGATTCCAGGGATCAGAATTCGACCAGAAGAGTCCACCAGGCTGCCTATGAGAGACACACAGGAGACAAAGGCAGGTGGAAGCTACAGGTGCGTGGGGTCCTGGCCCTGGAGCAGAGCCTCAGGGACCCTCCTGGGGCTGCAGCGGGCCTGCGACCGGCCCTGTGACTGGCCCTGGCCCTACAGCAGAGCCACTTGTCAGTAGCTCACGTCCCAGAGGCGACAGTGGGAGAAAGGAGCCGGTCACCAGGAAGACTCAGCCTGCGTCAGACCCGTTTTAACGTCCCTTGTCGACAGAGGGATGGAAACACACGGCTCTGCAATCAGTTACATTTGGAGTGACTTACCTGTGTTACATGCAAGTTCTTAGCTACACTCTTACATCATAAACAAGGTTCCTTTTTTAGTTTTATCTTATCCTGAGTTAAAAAGTAATGTGTTCATTAGAAAAATATTTTAAATATATATGTATGTGAATATACATACAAACCTGAGAAACTGAAAGTCATCGTTCCTTCTCAACCTCCCTCCCCTACACACACCACAATAATATAATAAATACTCATCTTTAATCAAAAGCGTAACAGCCTTGAGGTCTAGTCTATGAGCCACGTCATAACCACGAAAGCTTTCGTAGTGGCGAAGCAGGTACACTGCTGTTATTTGTGAAAAAGTTTGGGGATTAACAGCAATGAGTGAAAAATCATCAATGAGCATCTATAAAAGAAGCAGATGCCAATGACATGGATGGATGGATGGGTGGATGGATAGAGAGAGAGATAGGTAGGTAGATAGATGGATTTAATGGGACAATGAAGGAGCAGGAGGCTCTAGAATAAAGGTGATACTGAAGACCCAGAGGCAATCTCCCAACAGGTCGCCCCGTGGGCTGGTGGTTCCCTGTCGGAGGCTGCCGAGGCCAAGGGGATTCGGGAGGGCGTGGCCAAGCTAGAACTGTGTCAATATGGAAAAAAGAGATTTTTGCTAATTGATCCCCAAAGAGGGAGTGCTTTTTGGCAGTTTGCTCAAAAGGGGCACGTTGTAAAATTTGCATAAAGTCGCCCTTGGGACATCACACCTGGCTGTGGGACACAGCTAATCAGCGGACCTGCTGGAAGAAGTCTTAGGATGTACGTGATCATTTCTGGTTTATCTGCTTCACCAAATGCTCCATAGCTCATAAGGTAAAAACCATAATGCAACTACCATTAAAGAACAAATTTTCTTTGTTCTTTAACGGTGAGAAAGGTGAGAAAGATCCAGGTATTGCGAGGTCTGAGGCTTATGTAACCTGAAAACCTCTTTTTTAAAAAGAACCAAATTGTGACTATGAACGCGCGCAGTGTCCCTGCCAGAACTGTGCAAGCGAGGCCCTGTAGATGAAGCCTCCTTCAATTCTGGGATCCACCCGGAAGATGGGCTGTCCGAATGTAGGCAAGAGCTCCAGGTGAGTCAGGTGGGCAAGCTGGCTCTCTGGAAACACACACACACACACACACACACACACACACACGACTCCCACCTGCACCCACCAGGCCCACCACCTGAGGAGGTCACAAGCAGGGGCAACAAGCAAACTCAGTGGCGTCGCTGAGCCACGTGGGACCACAGGGACTCACAGGAAGGAAGCCAAGAGGTGTGGGTAGATTGGGCACCAACTCTGCATGCTTCTCCAGAAAGGTCTCTGCCACTATCCTCAAGTACAGCCAGACGTGTCACAACATCCAGTGAAAGGAAAGGGGGTGGACTGAGGAAGGGCTTCAGTCCATGAAGAGAAACAACGTGGACATAATAAGCCTAAGAAACGTTTAGCCAAGGGGGAAGCTAAGACTGTGGTCTTCCTCCGCTCCACCCTTATTCAGGGCTGGCCTGGAAACCAAGGGGGAGACAACTGAGTCAAACAGAACTACGTTAGCAGATTCTCTGATGCTTAAAAAGTGAAACCAAAGAAGACATTACCAAGAAGAGCGACCAGATCCGCCATGGGTTCGTTAAGGATCCCACCAAAGGTCCCCGAGTGGAAATCCTGATCTCTGCACTTCACCTGCAAGACAGGGAACGGGAAGGGAGTTGCTTTTCACCGTGGCTGCTCAGAGACACCTTTCACCGGGCGGCAGACCTGCCCTGGGTGGCCCTCAGGGCTCAGGGGTCAGCTGACATCGTCACCACCGTGCTTCTGTCACACGATGTGGAGCGTCTGACCCCCACGTCTTCAGGTCCCACTGAATTCCCCGAAACCGACCTCAGCCCCAGCCTGGCCACCAACAGCACCAAATCCCAGACCACCAGAGCCTCCTCGGCCTAACGGCTGACGTGCAGCACAGTTGCCTTGCTCTTGGTTTCACACCATCTCGTGCTCAGCCCTCCTTCCAGAAAATTCTCCAGGAAACTTTCTTCTCCTTGTTATTGTCCTCCTGCAGGACCATTCTACTTACGTCTCCTCTGATGACTTCTTTTCTGTCTTTTCGCCCCCAGATTAATCCTTGGATCACTCTACACACAGAGCTTCAAGGCCCACGGGACTTCCTTTACAACCGCCAGACTCTCAGCGCTCCTTCCGTAGGTCTGACCTTTGACCTACTCACAAGACCTAAAGCTTCTAGTCGCTTATGGTACATAACACTTTGGTGTGCTCCCAGCTTCTGAACTTGAGGAGGTCTAGACGGGAACATCTTCTCCTACAATTACTTCCTCCTTGCTTGCCGTTTCCAAAACAAGGAGAGATGCCAGTCCTATAAATCTATCCCCTTAAAATGATGTTGGGGACTTCCCTGGTGGTCCAGTGGTTAAGACTTCGCCTTCCAGGGCAGGGGGTGCAGGTTCGATCCCTGGTCGGGGAGCTAAGATCCCACATGCCTCGCGGCCAAGAAACCAAAACATAAAACAGAAGCAATATTGTAACAAATTCAACAAAGACTCTAAAAATGGCCCCCATCAAAAAAAAAATCTTAAAAAAAAAATGATCTTGGATTTCTCCCAGGCACATTATGTCCAATCGGATCCCAAGTTCTAATGAGTTTGGGTTTTTTAATTCTCTTTGACCCATTGCCTCTCACCTTTCCTGCCCGGCTGGCCCTTCTCTGCCTCTATCGCCATCTTTAAAGCCCTGCCAGGTGAATCTTCCATTTAGTCACTGTAGCTTAAGACCTGTATCTCACCAGGCAGGGATGCTAACAAAGCACTTTGGGGTCGCAGAGCCCCACCTCTGAAATCTTTTGCCGCCTTATCCCACCTCTGCTCACAGCTTCCCTCCTCCTGGCCCCCTCGTCATGAGCCTGCCCTCCCCCATTCTGGGCCACAGCAAGACGTCCAGTCCCTCGACCCATCCAAGACCTCCCCACCTCTCGTCCTCCTGTCCTTCTTTTCTCCCCATTCAACCTGAATGCCCCTGTGCATCCCTTCAGCCTCTCCGTGGGCGACGTCTTGACTGACTTCGTCTCCTCCATCACACCATTGGGCACAGCCCTGGATCAACCCTGCCCACTGGGGTGTCTCCACCACCGGCTCCTGAGCACAGCTGCAAACGATATCCCACTGCTCGGACAGGGGACTAAACACCCTCACCTGCCCGCCAGCCACTTCTTCGTGCCCACCTGTTCCCCACAGAGACTACTTCCAGCATGTCTCTGCAGAGAAACTTCCTTCTGACTCAGCAGTAGAAAGAGGACAAGGATAGCGAGATGTTCCACGGCCTGCACAACTCGGACCCCACCCTGCTTCTGCAGCTGCCCGGGACCCCAACGGGAGAGCGGAAGCCCTTCCCGGCTCAGGATCGCACCCGCCCTCTGGCTCTCATACACCACCCCCCCACCACCCCACCACCCCTGCTTTGCGGTTTCCAGCTGCTCTATGAGGGAGGACTTTCTGATTCTAAATTGCAGGCTCCATCACAGCTTGTCTGCATTAATAGAAAAGGAGCAGGAAGCAGACTACGTGTCAGGGCGGAACGCGAGGTCGCTTTTAGTGATCACAGCAAGCCTGGGAGGATTACTGTGCTCACTTCAGAGGTAAGGAAACAGACTCAGAGATTAAGGTGCGCGCAAGGCTGTTCGTCGGATGAGCCAGACCTCGGGTGCCGGCCTTGTCAGTGCTGGCACCCCTTCTCTTTCTGTCCAAGACATGGTGGGCAGAGCAGGTAATGGCCGCTCACAGCATCCCCAGAACCCAATCAGGCGGTCAGTCTCCTTACCCCAGTGCCCCAGTGCCTGCCTCCAAATTTCACAGCTGGAGTTCCTAAAACGTAGTGAGTCACAAACCCCTCTGAATCTTCTCTCCAGAAAAACGTACACAGCACATGCGTTCATGGCTGGGGTGCTTCATGAACTCCCCCAGTCCCAGGACCCCGTGATCCCCCGGGGCCATGCCCCCGGGTCGGGGTCTACTCTCTGTCCTCCCCGCCGGGACCCCAGCACGGATCCACCTCCAGGCGGCTGCCGTTGGCAAGTACCTCCACCATGAAGTAGCTGTTCCCTCGCGTCCCACACGTGAGCGCGGGCGTCCTCCGGCTGATCCACAGATTGTCTGAAATCACGATGTAGTCTACACTTGAGAAGAACCCGGCCTTCTCTTTCTGGACAAGTTCCTCCAGGGCAAGAGAACCAGCCTCCTCCATCCCCTCGATAACAAATTTGACGTTCACGGGCAGATCCTGAATTAACAGTGGAGCAAACCACGCTGTCAAAAAAAGTGGACACCTTGCCCTTTCACCTTTTAAAATCCAGGATTTGTTTGCATGTAACTTAAACACACTGAATTATTATATACGTTCCCAAAAGCTCTGTTTATAACGAAGGAGTTTGAACTCAGGTTGACGGAGAATTCAAGGTAATGGCCAGTGAGCCATCAACCTAAGACTGATGACAGAGGATCTGGGCAGGGCATCCCTAAAGAAAAGGCTGCGCCCACCATATGGGGCTCCGCTCGGCCCCTGCAGAGAAGCCCGTTCCTCTTTCTCCCCAGAAGGAATTTTTCCAGAAAGGTTACTCAATTACAAATCTCTTTTCTGTCCTCATAATTCTGAGCATGATAAATGAGAACTCTTTCCTTTGAAAGGTTGTCTAATGTTTAAGCCTCAGGATAATTTTCATTTCAAGTATCTGTTATCTTTCAGCTACGAGTTCAATCTGCCTTTTAACTTATTCAAAGGCTTTGATCTTGCAGCAAAATGGACCTTGAGTTTTTCTCTAATATTAGGACATGGAATAGCGCCTTTAAAATTTTTACAATGTGCCTTTCCCCCATTTGGTTTTGATCTTTTTGTATCTGTATAATTTATAACTTCATATCTTTGAGAGCCGTGTGGAGAAGAGGGGTCGAGGGCTTTTCCTAGAGCATAAGGCACGTGCAGGGCGGGGGGTGAACAGTTATTCTATGCAGACGAGGCAACACAAACACACTCATTAGCTCTAATAAGTGCGATTGCCTGGCCCCAGATTAACAAAGGCAGGATGAGTGGAGGATTATGTATTAGGAAATGTGACCTTCGGTCATTCAGCTGCTTAAGGGCATTTGGGCATAACAAGTTTTTCAATGCATTCCTTGAATACATTTCTATGTGTTTTAGGAAGTTAAGCTAAAGTTCTGAAATCTTAATATTTGAAAGCTCCTTATTAACATTTAACTAGAAAACAATTCCCAAGAAGTAGCTGGAAAGCCTAAGAATTTTCTGGCAAAATGTGATTAATAAAATACAAGTCAATAGCTATTAAGTGTTGGAGGAGGACGTGGGGCTGGCAGCCCAGCCTGGGCTTTGGTCTCTGCTCTGTCCCTTGACACCCAGGGACCCGGGACCAGCCATTTCACCTCTCGGCAGCCCACTTCTCTGTTAATACTTGCTCTGCCTCTTGGTAAGACGATCCAATGAGGTGATGTACATTTAAGTGCTCTGTAAGCAAGACAGAAAGAGGGGATGGAGGGCAGAAGGGAACGAGGAAAGAAGAGACCAGAGCTCATAAAGGGCCTAGTACTCGCAGGCTCCAGGGAACCTTTCCATATTCACTGAATCCACGCAACAAGCCTGGAGACAGATATGCTCATTCCTAGATCATGGATGAGGGGAGTGAGGCTCAGGGAGATTAACTGACTTTTCTAAGGGCAGAGTGGGGATTGCTTGTTTTGTTTGCGATTATACGTTTCAGAGTTGAAATTTAAAAAGCAAAGCAGGGGCTTCCCTGGTGGTGCAGTGGTTGAGAGTCTGCCTGCTGATGCAGGGGACACGGGTTCGTGCCCCGGTCTGGGAAGATCCCACGTGCCGCGGAGCGGCTGGATCCATGAGCCATGGCCGCTGAGCCAGCACGTCCGGAGCCTGTGCTCTGCAACGGGAGAGGCCACAGCAGTGAGAGGCCCGCATACCGCAAAAACAAACAAATAAAAAGCAAAGCGGATTTTGACCTTTATATAGGACCTGTCTTATAAATATTGCTTTCCTCTTCTTAAGAAAGAAGGACAGAAAACGAGAGAGAGGGGTGGGACGTGGGGAGGGAGGGAAGGAGGGGGAGAGAGAGAGAGAAAGGAAGGAAGGAAGGGAGGGAGGAAGAAAGAAAACAGAGAGAGAGAGAGAAAGAGAGAGAAACCAAGGGCTTACTTAGGGGAGTGCCATGAACAAGAGGACAACCTTGCAGTGGTCAGCAGGGCCCAGGCAGAAAAGCATCCTGACTCACTAAGCCTGTCTTACTCAGTGAGATGAAGCAGTCAAGTGAGAGCAGTGAAACCCTCTCTTCTGCTTATGTCTCAGGAGACAACAGACTCATGAGAGAGAAGCCCCTGGAGTCTGATGAAATCACCTCCGAGAAAGAAAAAACGCAACGTCAGGACCTGCTCGATGGACAGGATTTGGGAGAAGCAGCATCAAGGACCTGAACCTCGGGCAACAGCTGGGCCGCTCCACTTGTCTTGTGGACAAGTGGACACGGTGCCCGGAGATGGACCCACCCCAGTCCTCACCAGACAGGCACATCATCCCAGCCCGACCTCGCAGCCCTGTCTCGGAAGGAGTGTGCTGCTCCCAGAGCCTCTTTGGGGACGGGGTGGGGATGGTTGGCAGGGGTTTGCCCTGTGACTGCCGACACGTCCCTTTCTGTCCATGAACCCAACAAATGGGCCCCACTTCCTCTTAAATTCCCAGTGTTCCAAAGTGCTTAATTCAATTCAGCCACACAAGTAAGATGAGGGAAAGGTAGCAAGGCTGCACATTTTTAAGGTGACCCCACAAACTCCTTCTGCACCCCCAGGTTACAGAGCCCATACTCTGTGGAGCCCAGACTGGAACAGGCTGGGTCTCATCCCTGGGCCTGGTCTTCCTGGCACAGGCTCAAGCTCACCGACTAGCAGGGCCATTTCTGCTTGAAAGGGATGGACTCACACCATCAAATCCACCCAGTGTTAGAGGGCCGGGAGCCCATATCAACACCCTCACTTTTACAGAACAGAATCTGAAGCCCAGAGAGGTTAAGTCTCCCACCCATGGCCACACAGCTAGATTGGATCCTGTTTGGAGTGTAAGCATGCTCATTACCAGAAGAGAAAAGAGCAGTGCGAGATGAAACCATCCTCATGAGCACAGCAAACGACACAGTTTTAGTTGGTGGTCTGAGAGAGTAGCCCTCCCCTCAAAGCTGCACCCCACCATAACCCCTCCTTGGACGGACTGAAACCACTTCCCACAAGAATAGAAAGAACTCAGGGATTCAGACAGAACGTCACACCCCAGAGATCGCTATCCTGATAATTTGCAAAGCAGCTAATATATTTCTTAAAGTGTATGTCTGTCTCTATTAACAAAACCATACTTTGTGATAAGAGGGACGGGTTGCAGATAAAAAAGATAAGCTGAGTAAGTTGAAGATAAAAAAAGACAAGTCCCAGCAGATGGTGGTGTAGCCACAGGCTCATGTTTTTTGCTGTGTCACATTGTTGCATGTCAACAGCACGGGATCAAGGTATCACCCTGCCCCAGACCAGCTGGGTGGCTTTGAGTATGTTCCCTTCCTTTCCCAAGCCTCTCTCTCTTTATCTGTAAAATGCGTGTGATTGTAACACATTCCTCTGCGGATTGCTGGAAGAGTAAAGGACATCATGCAGCTCAAAGCCAGCTGCCTCCGTCACCATCATCACCATTATCATTATCACCATCACCATCACCATCACCATCGCCATCATCACCCTTGCTCCCAAGCACAGCCGGCACCTACCTCGTCCAGGGCTCTGAATGTGCTCACAGCGTTGATCCACGCTAAAACAGGGCCTTTGTTGTCTGTCGTTCCTCGGCCATACAGTTTTCCTTTAAAATTGGGGGAAGAATTTTCAGAAAAGCATGGACACCTCTGCCAAGTTTAGTGAGCCAAAACCAAAGGTAGCTTTACGGGTAATTGTTTTAATGGTGCTTTCTATTTTTCTAGGCAGAAGTCTTGCTCTGAAATCACAAAGTATTGTTTCTTATGTACAAATAGTATGCTAGCCAGCAAACATAAGCTAATTTGAAATATACAGATCCCTTTGGCCTTAATAGTAATTAGCCATTTTATCCAAGTTCATTGAAGAAGACCCGCGGGTTTGTTGCAGAATGTCACGTAATATAGCCTTTCACTCTGAGATTTTACAATTAGCAGGACAATGAAAAAGGGTGTATGTGTCTCTCCATTAACCTTTCTTTTTCTTGTCTTTATAAAACATAATTACATTTGGTGTTTTAAAAAAAGAAAATATGTGACCTACACAACTATTTTCCTTGAAACCCAAGAACTCTCCTAATGGGAACTTGATTTGCCCAGGGGCACAAAGGTTCATGGTTTCTTTAACAACTGAAAGAAAATCAGCCTCATTGGACCAACCTGTGGACCATGAGAGCCTTGCTCTCTGCACTCCTAACAATGGCACGTAAGGCCTGGAGCCCGGGGCAGTCACATCTCGAATTCTTAAGCCCTACGAGCAGTCCTTCACCCACAGAAGAGCCCAGCACGAGGAGGTGTCACTGACCATCCACCTCCGTCAGCGTGTGAGGGTCCGTGACCCACCCATCCTCCTGTCTGGCAGGCTGCACGTCCAAGTGGCCGTAGAAGCACACGGTGGGCTTCTTGGGATCATTCCCCAGTTCGGCCAGGATGATGGGAGGTATCGGGAGGCTCTGACCATCAGGCAGCTGCAGACGGAATATGGGTAACTTTTTTGAAAAAAAGCCATTTGGTTCTTCCAGAAAATTCAAAGGCATGGATGGCGTTAGGAGTCTGTTACTAGCTCCAATCAGGTGGACACAGTCCTGTTAACAGACTATTCAGGCTCGTCAGTGCTAAAGCAGGCGACACTGGGAGGGTAGATTAAAGACCCATCTACTCCCGAGGGGCAGTAATAAGCCTTGATTCTGATGAGGGATTGGGTCCTTTGAGAAAGAGGCATTTGAACTTAAGGGAAAGAGCCATCTGGGAGAAATGTGAAGCACGTGAAGGACATGAACAGCACAAGTGGGGGGCCTTCACGCGCCCCCTCCACCTTCCCCCCGTCACCCCCGGTCCCGACAGGACGAGAGGTCGATGCTACAGCCTCCTGTGGGACGAGGTGGACATCTTCGCCCTTACTGGGAATCGCGGTGCTGCTTCTGCTGAGCATGAGGGCAAGCAAACCCCCATCCTGCCACCACGAAGGGAAGCCTGGCTGATGCCCAGGGAAGTGGCCGCTCGGACGCGGGAGGGGATGCCAGCACCTGCTGAAAACCTGCGTCCACCAAGTCCACGTGGGCTCCCAGGTTCCGGAGCCGGTCTGCAGCCAGGCCTGTCATTCTGAGCAGCTCTCGTCGGAGGTGCAGCACGGGCTGGACCGAGTCGCTCTCGACCGCCACCCACTCCTTCAGCGTCTGGGAGGAAAGGCGACAGGCGGTCAGCACGCGGGTCATCCGCGTCCACTCTTGGGGGCGCACCTCGCCGGGTCCCCAGCGCCCTCATCTGACCTGGAGACCGAGCTGGCAGACGACAGCTGGAGGCGTGACCAGGAGCCCAGAAGCCAGCGACGGCTGGTCAATGCAGGACGGGACGGTTGGTGGAAGGCCGCCTCTGAAGCCTGGCCTGGGCCCCTCAGCGCCACCAGGCTCATACAGAAGGCGCGGGTCCCCGCCCCCCTTGTGGTCTCTAGGAACTGAGAGCAGGCGCCCCTCGAGGGCTCGGCTTCCCACAAACGTCCCTGCAGGTCACTCTGATCTACCCCACGGTGGCCTCAGCTAGGCTGCAGGACCCCCTGTGACCATCCCGTGCATTTCAGCTCTGAGGTCCCCCTGCTGCACCTGCAGGCTCCGGGAGGGGGTGTAACCCCGAGTTTGAACTCAGGGCTGGGCAGGCAGACAACCTGAGTTCCTGGTCCTGGTTCTGCCCACTACAGGTGGGTGACTTCAAGGACATTTCTGAAGCTCTGGAATTGGCCTCAGCTTTCTCCACTGCAGGAGGGGCGTGAGGCTCCCTCTCTGCGGATTATGGTGGGTGTAATGCTGTGAGACAGTAACACATACACACTTTGGTCTTTCTCCCCGGTTCCCGGCCAGCGCTCCTAAAACTTTTACAATTTCCTAAGCGATAAGGTACTAGGAGCATCTCTTGTTCTAATATTTGGTCTTCGACGCCGGGTCCTGACACAGAGCTCCTAATGCCCTTGGGATTTCCCAGGTGAAAAGGAGCGTGCTTTTGTTCTAGTGAGGAACTTTGGAGGCTTCTGGGCATGCGGGCCGGTCACCAGAAAGACCGAGCCGTGGTCAGACGCTCAGAACTTCCAGCCCCAGCTCCCCACCTTGGGGGAAGGACGACAGGCTGGAGATGGAGCTAAGAATCGGTGATGCCTACGTGACGAAGCCTCCATAAACATCCCTGAGGCTCGGGGTTCAGAGAACTTCCGGGCTGGGAAGGGGTGCCCTGCAACCCACAGGACAGAAGCTCCCGCCCCGGGCAAACGTGTAGAAGCATGTCCCTGAGTTCTGCGAGCTGTTCTAGCAAACGATGAGCCTGAGGAGGGGTCACCAGAGGCCCTGATCTGTAGCCGAGTCAGGCAGAAGTGTGGGCAACCTGGGGACCCACCACCAGCTACTGGCGTCTGAGGTCGGCATCGGTGTGGGGGTGACACTACCTCCAGGAAGACAGTGTCAGAGGTGAGCCACGTCGCAGGACCCCGGGGCGGGGGGGCACACAGAGAACTGGAGACTTGCTTGTTGTGCAGAAACCCACACTCTGGGGACAGAAGAGGAAACACGCCTTTCTTGGTGAGGACGGAGTGAGAACGTATACACGGGAGACCCAGGCCGCAGCCTCGCCCCGTGGGAGCTCCGTAACCACAGCTGATTCTCAATGTTAGGAACAATCCTTCCCATTCCAGGGTCCGTACTTGAGCCGCTTACACTGGGACAGACGCAGTGTTTATTAAAAACCATACATGTGATTTTGGACTCTACTTCCTAACTTATTTTAGTTTGATTTCTATCCTGGTTGTAGCACTTCTGTTTTTATTGTGAAGAAATGTATTTGACCTGAAGGAGTATTGTGTTTTACATTTTTAAACTGGAATCTGTAGGGCGGATGCTGCCAAGTTAGCGCTAAACTTAACGGACTGGGAGGACATGAGGACGCTGCACAGAGCAGCGTTGGGCTGAGAGGCCCACATTGGCGCATGCTCCCACCGCATGCCTTTTCTCTCCCCGCTGTGAATTCCAGCCTGCACTGCGAACCCCAGTCGGGTTTCAACATCCCAACAGGCACTTACATCAAGTTAACACGCCCACACGAGGAAGGATTCCATGAAGGTCAAGCTTAGGCACCGCAGCCTGTACACTGAGCTTTGTGCTTTAGTATGAATCATGGGGGATTCACGTCTGTTTGCACAGTAATATTCCCGACACGGGTTGGTTGACCCAATAAATGTACACTGAACACACATCGTGTGCCAGACACAGTGTCGGGGGCTCGGGGTCCAGGGTCCAGGGCGGCCTCAGGGAGTTCCCGGGCGGTGGAGGTGGGCCAGGCGTGCCAGGGGCACAGGAGAGCCAGCAGGAGAGGGACGTGCCAGGTGGTGACGGAACGGGGAGGATGCATTTCAGCTAGTTTTGCAGGTGGAGAGGGTCTCTGAAGGGGAGGATGGGCCACCTGATGACGGTCCAGAGTAAAGGTGAGCTCAACGGAGCTTGCTGGTCATTGCTAAACAGACATTCCTAGATCAAATGTGCTGGGAATGCCCTTTTTGGAAGGAATGGCCGGAAGGGATCTCTTACCTGAATCTAACCAACATTTATTATTCTAAGTCAATGAGGAGTCACAGGCATTTTAAATGGAGTTGTCAAGCAAAAAAAAAAAAAAAAAAAATCCGCATCTCCCAGCAAATAACCATTCTCCCAGATTCCCAAAGGGCATACCCAAGCATTTTGTGCGTGCCGTGTCTCTCACCTGTACAAATTCATCCTGATGGAGATCGATGTATTGGAAGACCTTCTCTAGCAGCCCGGTGGGCGGGGAGGACGGTGAGAACATGCCTCCGTCCAGCAGCAACAGGAAAGCAAGGAGAGATGATGCCTGTGAGCATGTGACGGGGGGATATTTTAAAATAAGGACCAGGTTTTGGACTTTCCACCTTTCAAATACTTCAAGAAAGTTAATATTATCCAACACAGCTGATTCCAGTCTTCTGAACTAAAATAACACAAGGTAGTAGAATGGGAAATATATTTTTTGCTATATCTTCACCCAAACCCTTCATTTGCAATGCTAAAGAATTTTAATAAGATAGAAACCAAGTTAACAAGCTTGTATTTAAGCAATGCTGTTGTTTGTTTTTTTTCTATGACACAATTTTCCTATGGGTTCACTTCCTATAAAGCTAAGTCAGCTCCCTACATCCCAGGTGTTAAGGGCAATATTTATAAGAGAGAAAAACGTGAGATAATTAAAAACAAAACCAACAAAAGAAACAGCAACAAGCCTTCTTTGTGTGATTAACCACTTTATGAAATATTAGAAAAGTAAGGACTGAATAAAATCCTGTGCAGTGCTGTAGGGTTTCTTTCCATCAGCTCCTGAGGTTAGAATACCTTGAGAAGAAACTTACAAGCCACGCTGTGATAAATAACATCGCAGGACTGGCGATCATGTGGACACTGTTGGCCACAGTCTCTGCCTGGGAGCCCCCGGTCCGTGGCTTTCTCCTCTTTCCCTCCCACCAATCTGGCCTCTCTGCTTCCATCCCTGACGGGTTCCTTCCTTCCTCTGCCCAAGACCCCATTTCCTCCCTCCCCCCTCTCCCTGTGACCCCTTCCTAGTCTCTCTGGACTCCCACAGCAGGCTCCAGGCTGGGTGCAGAGCAGAAAAACTGTGTCCAGAAGAGCGTAGGACTTCCAGGTTGCAGACTAAACTAATTATCTTCTTCCAAAGCAACTCTTCCTTCTGGATTGGCTCTATTCATTTCTGAAATAGACTTTAGTTTTTAGAGACATCTTAGGTTCAGGCTGCTTCTTCCCTTGGCCTCCAGTTGCAGGCACCAACAGAGCCAAGGGGAGGACTTGGGTCTAGAATATAAAGAACTACTACAACTCAATAAGAAAAGACAAATTAACCCAATTAAAAATGGGCAAAAGATTTGAATAGACATTTCTCCAAGGAAAACATACAAATGACCAACAAGCACATGAAGAGATGCTCAACATCGTTAGCACCAGGGAAACGCAAATCTAACCGCGACGTGACCACAGTTCACACCACTCAGGATGGTTAAAATCAAACTGCCAGATGACAGCAAGAGTTGGCGAGGACGGGGAGGGACTGGAACCCTCGTGCACTGTTGCTGGGGATGTAAAATGGTGTGGCTGCCTTGGAGACAGCCTGGCAGCTCCTCAGACGATTAAGCGTAGCGTATCTTACAGCCCAGAAATCCCACTCCTAGGTGTGTGCCCAAGAGAAATGAAAGCATACGTCCACACAACAACTTGTGCTTGTATGTTTACAGCAGCATTATTTGTAATAGCCAAAGCTGGAGACAATCCAAATGATCAGTAATGAACGACTGAATGAACAAAATGTGGTACAGACACACAATGGAATATGACTCAGCCATAAAAAGAAATGAAGTATTGACACGTGCTACAGTACGAAAGAACCTGAACACATTCTGTTAAGTGAAAGAACCAGAAACAAAAGACTACACATTGGATCAGTCCAATTATGTGAAATGTCCAGAATAGGTAAATCCTAAGAGACAAAAGTAGATTGGTGGTTGCCTAGGGCTGGGAGGATTGGGGGAAAATGGGGTATGACTGCTGATGAGTTGGGGATTCATTTTCAGTGATAAGAATGTTCTAAAGTTGATTGTGGCAGTCGTGCAATTCTGAACGTACTAAAACCCACTGAATTGCAATGCACACTGTAAGTGGGTGGATTGTAAGGAAAATGAATTGTATTGCAAAACAGTTGTTATAAAAATAATAATAAATGTAAGCATTCAACAATATAAATATATTACTGAGTATGAGAAATGTCTATAAAGGAAGCTAAGGTGGGGGTAAAATCAGGGTCAAAGCGAGCCATGCTCCTCCGTGAGTGGACGAAGCACTTGGTCCAGAAGATGGCGCCAGTGAGCTGTTCAGCATCTCCCCCGTCCTCCTCCGCGGCTCCCAATTCACCTTCTGAGGGCAGCTAAGTCCCGCGGGCAGAGCCTAGAGCCAGGGGCTGCGAGGACCCAGGAGGAAAAGGCCCCCGCAGACCCACAGTGGCAGGACGATGAGGTTCGTGAAAATGGAGGGGGAAATTTTTTGCAGCCGATCCATCTAAATTAATATTTGAACTGTTATTTTTATTTTTCATTCATTCAATTTGCATTAAACAATTATTTGGGGGCTTCCCTGGTGGCGCAGTGGTTAGGAATCTGCCTGCCAATGCAGAGGACATGGGTTCAAGCCCTGGTCCAGGAAGATCCCACATGCTGAGGAGCAACTAAGCCCGTGCGCCACAACTACTGAGCCTGCGCTCTAGAGCCCGCAAGCCACAACTACTGAGCCCGTGTGCCGCAACTACTGAAGCCCGTGTGCCTAGAGCCCGTGCTCTGCAACAAGAGAAGCCACCACAATGAGAAGCCCGCACACCACAACGAAGAGTGGCCCCCGCTCACCGCAACTAGAGAAAGCCCGCGTGCAGCAACGAAGACCAATGCAGCCAAAATAAATATAATTAATTAAAAAAATTATTTGGTGCTCCTCTCCAATGAAATATGAAAGGAAAACTTGAAGAGGAAAAGGAAGCCAAAGGAAAAGGAGAGGAAGGAAAAACCTCGATTGTGAGGACCGAGAGTCCTTCCTGAGGACTGAGCTTCCATCAGGCTTGTTCCTGGAGATGTGGTCCTGCCCACAGGGCCTGCACCACCGCACCCCTCGCCCCCAGAGCCGTCCCCCGTCTGTCTCCCCTCTCCACTCGCCGTCAGGCCCGCAGAGACCGGCCATGGGCACTCATCCTGCTCTCAGGATCCCGGGTGGGGCCCCTGGGCATCCTTTGGTCTCCTCCCGAGTCTCTTGTGTTCCTCATCGTTCTGTTTCTTTTCTTGGGTTATAGTCATGTTTGACCTGAACGAATCACCCAACAAAACCCTGGGGACTTAGAAAGGGTATTCCTGGCCTTGGCCTTCGCAGGAAGGAGCAGTCGCTGGAGAAGGCAAGGTGAGGGTGAGGGTGAGGGAGCAGAGACGGAAGCCCAGGTCTTAGTGTCCTCCTGGGGGGCCGGTGGCCCAGCCTGGGCTGCAGGGCCTCGCAGAGGAAACCCCTTTGCTCCAGAGGCTCCTGTTAGTTCCAGCTGGTTGTTCTCAGACTGGGAACCGAAGTTCCACGTGCCCCTGTGCTGAGTACTTACATTTAAATGTAAGGACCTCCTGACTTCTCAAAGTCAGGCCACACCTCTGTGGTGTAACCACCCCCCACCCCGTCCTTCCCCTAATCCAAAGAGCTTCACTTCCTCAAAGCCTCGCCTCCCACTGGACGCAGGCCTCAGTGGCCACTCTGCTCTCTCCCAGCCTCAGCCAACAACTGGAGACAGTCAGGTGAGCCATGTACCTAGCTGACAGTGGCCTTGAGGTCCCATGGGCTGCCTCAACCAATGACACTTCTCTATCTCCTGCCACAAAAACAGCAGGCATCTCAGAAGGAGCCTGGGGTCGTTGTTAGTTTCTGATGTTGAACAGAATAAAGAATAGAAAATGAAAGCGCTCTCACCCCACACAGCCTGGGCCAAGGGTACATACAATGGCCCATCAGCCAAACCCTTTTCCGCCCGTAAGAAACTTTAGTGCCATTATCAACCTGGATGCCAAGAATTCTGCTTACCAAGTCCTTTAGAGTTCGGTGTGACCTTTACAGAGGTCGCTCTGCCGGTGTCTGCTTTGATGAATTTTATAACACAGGAAAAATGCTCTGTTAGCCTCGTTTATCTCACCACGAGAGGATTAAAAACAAAAATTCCAAACTGAAACACAGGCTTTTCCAGCTTGTGTTCATTCCCTCGCTGGCTCTGAACTGAGCCCAGCGGTTCCCGCTGAGGTTAACCAGTCCTGCAGGCTGGTGAGGGCGTGGCTTTCAGAGGATAGCCTGGACTCACGCCAGGGCCAAGGAGGCAGTTTCAAGGAGCGGAACGCCCCAGAACGTCCCAAGAACTGCAGCGTGTCTACCATCCTCTCGTGGGGTCTGCCGCGCGAGTCTGACCCCAGAGAGGAGAGGTCAGTGGCCGAGCCTCACTCCCAGACCCAGAGGTGACCCGCACGCCGCACACAGGCGGCTGGGACGCCAGCACAGGCTCGGCAGGGCCGCGGAGGGCAGAGGTCACCAGAAGCGGGGACGGAGGAGGCCCCGGGCGCTAGCCTGGGGCGCACGTGGAGCTGAGAACAGGCTCTGGCCCTCTCGATGGCCGACGGCCCGCTGCGGGCAGGGGGCACAGGCTCTGAAACGGGCACAAAGCACCATCACGTGCCGCCAGGAAGGGCCCGAGGTCAGTTCCCACAGCGGCCGGCCCTTCGAGGCCCGGGGCTCCGGAATGCTCCATCCGAAGACCCGGCTCCTGACGGTGGGGGCGTGCGTGTTTCTCCACCGCCTGTGGTCTTTGCCAGTGGGGAGCCGGCCGCCTGCACAGGCTGCGGGGACCAGGAAGCTGGCCTGCCAGTGAGCGAGGCCACCTCTTCCCGTCTGGCCAGGGACCTGGGCCTCTCCTGACATCAGCCTGAGGGACCGCCGGGGCTCACTGCCTCTGGAGCCTCTGTCTTCTGGAAACATGGGCAGCACAGAGACAAATACGTGCAGCAGAGGAGGGACTGAACTCGCCAGAGACCCCTCTGCTGTTTCTCCCGCAGACAGGCAGCCACGCCCACCGAGTCGGGGCACAGGGTCTGAAACGGTGAGAGTGCTGTCGCCGCTTAGAGCTGGACGGTGAACTCCTCAGAGGCGAGCCTGTGGCTCTGATCCCGCACCTGGAACCCAGGGCTCCCGCTCCGAGAGGGGAGGGTGTCCATCCCGAGCGTCAGTGGTGCGGGGCCCGGCCTGGAGCCCAAACCTAGGGTGAACCTGAGATCTTCAGAGCTCCTGGCTGAGGCTACACCACAGCCGCCGCCCCCTTTTCCTTCTTCTAAATCTCTTTTGAGGGATTTTTGCATAAGAGTGCTAACAGAATAAATCTAAAATACCTGTAGGAGTGACTGAATGATCTCAGGGCACAAGAGGTGAACTCGGGGCGTTCCGGCGGCAGAATGAGGGAGTAGGGGAACGGGATGGTGGGGCTGAGGTCAGTGGGACCCGAGAGGCAGGGAGACCCAGACTTAGAGCCGCAGGAGGGTGACCAGGGAGGAGCAGAGGCGCCTCAGCGGGGCGGGAGAGGAGGACAGGGTTCTGGCAGGACTGGTCCAAACGGAGCTGTCACCAGAGAACACGTCTGCTTTTTACCTAGATACTCCTTTAAATCTTATCTTCTAAAGCTGAAGTTCACAGCACAAACTTGTTTTGATTTCAAAACATGGGGCTTTATGACCTTCACCACTGGGAAGCAAGGTCCCAGCGATAAAGGGAAGGAAGAATTCCAGGCTTGGCCTCCTCCTGAATCAGTGCCACGGGCTACTGTGCAGTTGGGGACGAAAGTTCAACACGTGAAAAGTCAAGAACGAGGGCCATTTCAAGGACAGGGCAGGAACTTTTCAATCTCTGTGGACTAGGCTCCTGTAGCTGCCGGAACCAAGTGCCACGGGGCTGGGTGGCTTAGGACAACAGGAGTTCAAAGGCTCACAGTTCTGGAGTTAGAACTCAAGGTGTCAGCAGGGCCACACCCTCTCTGAAGGCTCCAGGGGAGGGTCCTTCCTGCTCTTCCCTCGTGGGGGGGGGGGGGGGCGTGGCTGGCAATCCTCGTGTTCCTTGGCTCGTAGCCGCATCCCTGCCACCTGTGCCCGTCTCCTAGGTGTATCCCTGCCTCTTCTAAGAAGGACTAGGCAGTGGCTTTGGGGACCACCCCACACAGTAGGACCTGATTTTAACTAATTACATCTGCAAAGGTCCTCCCTCCAAGCAAGGTCACATTCTGAGGTTCCAGGAGGACATGGATTTGGGGCCACTATCTGACCCAGTACACTCTGTTAGTCTCTTGCCACTAATATTCTCTTATTTGCTTTCTTAATAATTATCGTCTGACTCACTTGAACCTGAGCCGCATGACAACTGGGACTTGGTCTTCCTATGTCCCAGGTCCCCAAGAGCCTAAGCTGTGCCTGTCACAGAACAAGACCAGGTCCAGCCAGTATTTACTGAATAATTACATGCATAGTCTTGAAGGACACCAAGAGTAGTTGATTTTCACTAATGTAACTAGTTCTACTTCAACGCTGTGTAGAAAATGCAGAATCTGTCTAATAAAACTATTCCAGCTGTAAACCTGAATAACAGAAAAAGTGAATGTCAAATTTGGGCAGACTTTTCCCTCCTGGCAGTCCCCCCAAAATCCCCATGTGGACCTCTGTTCACTGATCTGCCTGCCGGGAGTCCTTTGCTCCTCTCCAGCCTCCCAGCTCTTCATCAGCAAAGCCATGCCAGCTGCTCCAGGCTCACAGGGAACCCCTCTGCATCCCACGGAGTCCACAGCCTGCACCTCACAATTCACAGCATCCTCGCCAACTGCCGCCCCCCTTCCTCCCTGAGTGATTGCAGGCTTGCTCTTGTCCCTTGACGTCCTCAACTTCACTGTGATGGGTCTGACTGACATATTTACACATTTTGCTCCATCATCACTGTCTGTTTTCAAACTGAACACGCATTTCTGTCTTTTTTATTCTGTAAAATGCTTAGTAATTCTCTAATATCACTGTTACCTGAAAACTGGGTTCACCTCTTGGTGGGTGTCGAGCCAAAAGACACAACCAAGACAAAGAGTGGGAGAAGGAAGGACTTATCACTCGCAGCGAGTAAGGAGAGCATCAGGGATATTTCCCAAAGCGGTGTCCCTCCAAACAGCAAATTGGGAAACTTTTCAGCTAAGGGAATATGCATATTCATGAAGGGGCTTCAGCATAGAATTGGGGCAAAGGTCACCAGAGTCCAAGTTTTAGTTGACTGAGGTCACGAGGGTCAGAAAAGGTCAACATTATCACCCCTGAGGTTCCAGTTGGTCTCGGGGTTGAGCCTTCAGGCTAATCTTTATCACTGAAACAGAACTAGGAGTCTTTACAACTGATTTATTATCTTCACTCTTTTTACTTCTCTTGCTTGATGACAGTCATTTGTTCCCACCTCCTTTTGTTCCCTTAAGATCATTAATAACGGAGACCTGTTCAAGGGCTAGCATGGTGGCCAGGCTTAGATCCCAAAATGGCTTAGGCTAAAATGGCTTCTCTTCTGTCAAAAAGCTGCATCTGGTTCTTTTCCTCCAGGCACCCCCTACCCTATGTGCTCACTTCTCCACCATTTCCTTTATTCTCTTTCCTAGGACTGCTACTACAGCTGGAGTCTTTCAATCTCTCATATGTCCTCCAGCTCTCTTCTCTTTTCTGTCTTTTTTTCCTTTTATCTCTGTGCTCCACTTCCTGGGTGAATTCCTCAGTCCTGCTGTCTGGCTCATTCATTCTCTCTTTGGCTGAGGCCAGCTGGCATTAACATCCTCTACTGAGTTACTGCAGTGACTAGTTTCCTTTTTCAGGGTTGCTAATTGGTTGTGTTTCCTATCCATCTGTTCTTGACTCATATGTGCCCACTTGTTTTATAATTTCTTTTCTTAGTCTTTCATTTATCTCTTGAAGATTTTAAATGTACTTTGTCTCCATTTTAAAGCATGTTCTACTGTTTGCATTTCAGTGGCAGTAAATTCACTTCCCAGTTAATTTTGTGGATTATCTTTTTCATTGTTAGTGTTTGCTCACCTACTACAGAATGTTGTATGTGACAAACAGTTCACCATTGCCTACCTCCTAGTTTTCACTAGATGTTAATTACTAAGGGTTAAGAATTCTAGTCTTATATGTAAGTGAAACTACTAGAAATAAAAAGGGTAAAGAAAAAATCTCTATATACAAAGTATGCAAGGATGCAAGATGTGATTTTTGTAAAAAAAATAGTAGTATAAGGTATGAAGATGTGTTTTTGTTAAGGGAAAAATTTTGTCTTAGTTTAGAGGTTATTTAATGGTTGTTTCATTTTTTTAAGGAGAATAAAGGACAAAAAAATAAATAGGTATAAAAAGTTGGAGAAGAGAGAGTAAGAAAAAAAATCTTACGTTGTGTGGTCAAGCTGGCTAAAGTTAAATGAATTTATGATAAGATTTTTGTTTTTTAAAAAAGGATTTTTAATATCAACAGTGTGCCTATGCAAAACTAGAATTCAACTTTCTTACTCTGTTAAAAGGACAAAGTTTTCTTGGATTATTGCAAAAGATTTTTCTTTACCTGTTGAATAATCTGCCTAGAAAACAAAGATTCTGCACTTATCAAAATAATTTCCTGTTGTTTTAATCAGCTCTTTGATTACTTAAGAAAACTGAGTCTTCTCAATATTAAAAGAACTGAAGTCTTTTTATAACTATGCAAATTTCTGAACATGCCTTTGAAATCTTTTAAGTCACTTTAGTTAGAGATAACTTAAAAAAAAAGAGATAACTAAGTATTGTTTCACAGTGACTTGTGATCACATTGAATCAAGTGTCTTAAACCTGTTGACATATTTGAGAACCTCCCAAAGTCAAATTTGAAATGAAGTCTTTTTGACCTAGAACCAACTTTGGGATTTTTCCAGAGGGCCCCCAGAAAATATCAAAGATTTGTTATCTCTCCTTATAAAAATAGTGATATGAAACTAATTAGGCTTATTTGATATGTTAAGTTACATGAGAAGCATTGTCAAATAAAAGTGATGTTTAACTTAGGTTATATTTGTATGGATATATGTTACTAATATAAGTATTTCAAAATTGCATAAAAATTCCTGGAAATTTGTCAGTGTCCTTACTGTCCATATAATCATCATAATTCCAATTTTTATCTTAAAACGTTGTATGCCTTAGAAATAATCAAATTTCCTTGTCCACTGAGTCATTTTTTTAAATGAACTCTCACCATATCTTTAACCATGGCTATTTAAAGTCTTTTGTCATTCACAAAGAGCTACAGCTTTATTCTGATCATTCTCTGAAAACATTTATAATCAGCTACAGGCAAGAAGCACCATGATGACATCACTTGAATTAATTTTGAGACCATGCCACTGGACTGAGCAAGGATTTCCAGAACTAACAGAAAAGCTGATGGATTCATAAAACTTCTAACCCAAGATTTAGCAAAACAAAAATCATTATATGGGACTGAATGAACTGATGAGAATTATTGCAATTTTTATGACTTTTTGTTTGAAATATTGCTAGTTCTTTAATGTTTTGTTTCCAGGTTTAAGGAAAACTTTTTTTCTCTTAAGCTATCTGTAACTTATAGTAATCTGATAAATTGTATCTTTGTAAACAGAATTGAAACATTTATGTTTTTCTCCCTCATACCTCCAGTACTTATAAACTCTGAGTGCTCTTATTTTCATGACACTGTAGTTCATATATGTATATATATACACATATATATGTGCAAATCCATAAGTTAAATAAGAATCTTTTCTCTGTATAACAGGACTAAATTGAAAACATTGGTTTATTACCAGGGTTTTGGTTGGGATGCCATATTTGAGAATGATAGGCATAGAATCAGATGTGAACAGTTTTAAGGAACTAAAGTTGACTTTACTGAGCCAATAAAGCCTCCTGAAAAGACAGCCTGGTGCCTCTGTTACAGAGTTCCTACTCTTACAGGTGAGTAAGAAAGGTCACTTTCTGGCAGACCCAGGAATCTTTAGGTATACTGGAGGCCTCAAGAAGAAGGGAATTCACCCAAATCTTGGTTATTGCAGGTGAAGTCTGATGGTGACACTTGGCTTGGCTTCCTGCCCTTGAGAAGCTTTTACAAGTCTAATCTGAGATTCCTTTTGAAAGTTCCAGTAAAGCGGACTTAAGAGCTGATATGATCAAACACTACTCTTGCAGCACTTCTGCAAATAATCAGGCCAAGTGTAATGAGACGAGACTCTTTACCAATTAGTCTTGCTGTGATTATATTTGATAGGAATGGAGGTGACTGTTGAGAGAACATTATGTTACAATAAAAAAAACTACAGTACATCCATTATCAGATCTAAGCCCTATTCGCTCTTTGAGGTTTTGTTATCTACTCGTAAACTGGACCCTGAACTCTGCTAGTTTCCTCCAATATCTGGCTACAACTCTTTAAACTAACGTTTCCAATTTTCCCCTACCCTGCTAACTTGGAGTCATTAAGAACTAAAGCTGCCCTTTTCCTGAAGCCCTACAAACTGGAGCTGATACAAACTACAGAGAAATCACCACGATGAGTCACGTATGGACAACCTGCTTGACTGCTGCTAGGTGGGCCACTCGGAAAGCTCACCAGAACGCCCAACACCATCCCAGAGTCATTCAAACTACAAACAAGGACATTTGTCAGAACTGCCCTCACTCCACCATCTAAAGATGCTTTGAGCCCAACAGCCAGAGCTTTTCTTGACTGACTGCCCTCTGGACTCAAAAACAGAATTTGTAGTTTGTTTTAATCATTAACCTTTATTTTTGTTTCCTTAGAAATGCTTCGTATTAAATAGCTCATTGCTTGCACCATAAAGAGCCCTAAATGAGATACAAGTAGATCACTGGTTGCTTAGGGATGGGGCAGGAATAGGAGAACAGGAAAGTAATTGCTAAGGAGTATTGGACTTCTTTTTGAGGTGATGAAAACATCCTAAAATAAACTGTGGTGATGGTCACATATATCTGTGAATATACTAAAAATTATTGAATTACATGCTTTAAAAATGCAGATTCCTAGACCTCCACCTCAAAACTATTCACACTAATGTTTGGGGGGGGGCAGCAGGAGGCAGAGCAGAGTTCAGAGTTCAGTGAGGAAGGGCAGCGAACTGTATCTGGGTGTGTAGAGTTCTCCACATCACCCTCTAAGCGGTACTTGGACTTTTGCATTCAGCAGCTGGAAGTTGTGCTCTGTGGTTTTGATAAGAATATTGCTTTTCGTGGGAAGAAAAGATGAGTATGGAGAAGTGTGCTGTTGAACGTCTAGGTCACCCCACCTGCCTGGGCCTTGTGTCAGCACCCTGGACCCCAGCATTCACTGAGGGGAACTGGCTTCCGGGTACTGTGTAAGATGCTTGAAAATAATGCCATTTAATTATTTGTTGGAACATACAGCCACCCAAAGCGTGCCGATAAACTACTCCCAAATGCCGCGTCGCTCAGGCTGAGACAGGCAGCACCCGAGAACATGTCTAAGTGCAGGTGGGGATCCGCTCCGCAACCTGCCTCACAGGCATGGCACACGCACCGTTAGGCAAGCGCAAGGCTAGCACACTGCTCCCCTGGACCCTGAGCGGTGGAGGGTCTACTCACCATCCTTCCTACTATGGGATCCATTGGGCGGCAGTTCTGTGGTCTCAGCAATTCCCCAGGACCTCGAAGGAAAGTGGAAGAGGAGGTCTCACCAAGGCCCTCAGCTGGTCACATTAAACATCCCCCCACAAGGTGCCTGTCTGCGTCCTCCCCGTTCCCCCAGAGGGAAGACAAGGCTGGAATAGTGGACCTATTCACATTCGGAAAACAAAGCTGCTTCAGAGACATGTGTTCAACTCGCCAGCAGAGGGAGAGACAATGCGTATCGCATGCACAGACATGGGATAAGGCAGTGGCCCGGAAGTCATCTGATGTTACTGAAGGCCAGCGAGGCCAGCCCAGGCCGTGCGTGACAACCCAGGGGCTTTGCCTGGCATGCATGGAGGGTGTCACCTTTGGCAGGGAGCAGGTGCACGTGCCCAAGGCTGGCAGACCTAAGGGAGGCCACGTGAACACACGCTGTTACCTTTGGCAGGTGACACCTCGGCCCTGCGCTGGCACTGTGACCCTAGAACGCGTCAGCATGACAGGCTGGGTGTCAGTCTGCTCCGGCTGCCATAGTGAAGGGTGGCAGAACGGGCAGCTTAAACAACAGAAATCTATTGTCCCCTAGCTCTGGGCCGGGACGTCCAAGATCAAGACGTTGGCAGGGTTGGCTCCTCCCTAAGGGCGGGGGAAGAATCTCTGCCTGGCCTCTCTCCAAGGGCTGCAGGTAATCGTCCACGTTCCCTGTCTTGCAAACACATGGCCCAGCCTCTGCCTTCGCCTTCACGTGGCCCTCTCCCTGGGTACATTCCTGTCCACACGTCCCCCCTTCATGAGGACACCAGTCATACTGGACTAGGGCTCACCCACATGACCTCTGCAAAGACCCCATCTCCAAATCCGGTCCCACTCTGAGGTACTGGGGGTTAGGATTTTAATACGGATTTTGAGGGGATGCAATTCAACCACTAACAGGCTGAGTCTCCAAAGCACTTAGAGTGTGCTGGGGAGACCTTTCAAATCACCCCAGGCCTGGGAATCAGAGTTATCCCTGGGTGGGGTTAGTCCCTGGTCTCTCCCACATGAACGGCTGGGGCCATGGGACCAAATCCATCCAACCTCTGGGTCCCCGTCCACACTGTTGGCTCCCCAGTATGTCTTTCCTCTCCTGCAGCGATAGAAACGTCATCCACACGTTTCCTGCCTCTTGTGCAGTTAGGAGTGGCTGTGTGACTACCTGAGAAAGATGCGAACTCTGCATGGTGCCCAGAAGCGAGGAAGCCCGTCTTCCCCCATCCCTCCTTCCTACAGGCTGGGGCTGCAGGCTGGAGCAGAGGCCACGACCTTGACGTTGAAGCCGGGGAGCCCCGCCTGCCCGAGAAAACTGTCATCACCTTGAAGACTGTGTCGTCGCGGTCACAGCGGCCTCACTAATACATGGGGTTTAAGGATTCTGACAGGTCTACCACCCTTTCCTGATGCCGTGGCCAAAAAGCAAGAGCAAAGGAACTACGACTTTCCCTTGGTCGTGCGGAGACGCTCAGCTTTCCTTCAGGTCGGGACTCCTCTCAGCTCCTTCTCTTCTGGGTCAAGAACGCAGCCCAGTAAGCTCTCTTTTTCTAAATAAGACCAGGCAGGGTATTCTTGTTAGCGGTCAGCTTCCTGCCGTGGAGTAACACCATTCAGGGTCACAGTTGGGGAACGCCTCTCCTCCCACGGAACAGTGGGGTGAATGCATTTCACGAGCACCGAGTAAAGCTTCTGCCCCTAACTTGAAACTAGAGTTAAAGTGCACTGACCCTGAGCAGGTAGCGCCAAGGGCTCGGTCCCTGGAGGGCACAGGGTGACTGGTACCAGGCTGTTTTCCCGGACAAGCCTCCCCGAGGCCTAGCAGCATGAGTGGTGGGGATGGAGGTAAGGAGGCTGCAGCTCACAACACTGAGGACACTGTGGGTGACTCCAGGCGCGAGGAGGACCCGGGCAGTGAAGGAGAGATCCAGGCGCCGAAAGCATGGCTTCCACTCCAACCCGTTAAGTGTCAGGTGTGACAGGGCCCAACAAACAGCACCCCTGTCCCCCATGCCAGTCCCGGCCTATGAGTCAGGAGGGTCAGCAAAGTAGACAAAACACAGACTTCACGATAAACAAGGGCCCGGTTCCTTCGGGGGAGTCTAGTGTGGCCTCCTCCCTCAGCTGGGCCGGGGAACTCTGCTCTTTAAACCAGTCTGATAGGCTCTTCTGTGGCTCGGCAGCACCAGGAGTGGGGACAGGAGAGCACGAGCGAGACGGGCACCGGCCTTCTGAGCCCGGCCCTCAACCCCGCCAGCCCGCACCGCATACCTCACCGTGCACAGGCACGGGGCTGCGCAGAGAAAGGCGCACAGGCAGCAGCTCCTCCAGAGGCTCAGTTTTTATTTTTTATTTAGCAACTCAGATTGAGATCAGATAACCCTCCCAGTAGGTTTAGGTTTTGAGGGATCGTAGTAAAGAGAAGATGTGGAACACCAGTAACAGTTAAGGTCTTGAGAAAAGGAGAGAATGTGCTCAAGACAGCAGCGGACAGAAAGGATGGCCCTCGAGGCACTAGGTGCCCGCGACTCAATGCTCCAGGTGTGTGCGGCCCTGGCTCTGGGGGCAGAGGTGGGACCAGGAAGCACCAAGGCCTCTCTTCAGCCCAGTAGACATCGACCAGAACGTTCTACAGAAGAACCTGTGCTTTTAGGCCTCGGCTATTTTCTGGAGACACCACTGAGAATTCAGCTGTCACCCAGGGTCGTTTACAAGCCCCCAGGACTGAACATTGATCGCTGCCGGGATAGGTTAACTCCATCCTGACATGTGGTCTCGTGTCCACTGCCGGATGCCTGGAGAATCTGACGAGAGGGAAAGGAGAGAGACGGGCTTCCGCGTTCCTGAGCGACGGGAAGGGCGCGAGGTGATGGGAGGAGGGCGGTGCTCAGTTCTTCAGCTGGGACACTTCGTACAGGTACGCAGCCAGCATCTTGGTGCCTTCAATATAGTTGTGCCTGACAGGGAGGAACAGTCACCACGCTGGCTGGTGTCCCGAGGGCCGGGCACACATGCTGCATTCTTCCCGGAAGCAGACGTCCCACCGTCCCGGCGTGCTGGCCCTGAGTGCTGCTTGCCTTGGTTCTCAAGTCCAGTCTGACTGCCCCACCAGGGACCATCCCTGGTCCTGGTCTAACGGAATGCACGGTTCTCACCTGGTACTTAGTGTGAAGGGCCTTACTGGACCACAGCTGCTCCCTGTCTGTCTGGATGCAAAGTCTCCACCTTGTGTCCTAACACCCAGGGCTCTGTGCTCTCCCCCTGCCCTCCAAGCAGGGCCTTTCTTTGCCTCAGTCCCTGACTGGCCCACCCCAGTCACCTCAAGACGGCCCCTCTTTTCTGCCCTCACCTGTTGAGCTTCTCATTCTGGGAGTGGGCTCCGTCATCTGCTGACCCCACGGGCAACAGCATGACATTCTTCCCCGTGGCCTCCTGAAATGTCAAAGTCACAGGGATACTGCCGCCTTCCCTGGTCAAGTCCGGCTCAACACCAAAAACTGAGGGAGAATGGAATAAAAGACACTGAGCTTTAGGGCTGCGAGGCCAGGGATCCGCCACAGATCTACTGGCCCGCAACCCCAAGTCCAGATCAGCAGCCCCGCTCTCAAGGTTGGAGATGGCACAGCCCAGCCCGCAGAGACGGAGCCAACACAGCCACACGCCCACGATCCACTAGCGCCTATCAGCCCCCAAAGAGGACGTCTGACCTGTCTTCAGGGCTCTTCTCCCAGCCAAGTAATGAGGGTGGTTGAAGTCGGATACCCAGGGCTTCCCACCGTGGCCCAGGTACACCTTGAACTTGTTGGGACTGTGCAGTTCAGCAAACTTCTTGGTCAAGTAGCTCGTAACCTGAAGCACGGGCAGGAGAGACAGTGTCTTACAAGCCTGGCCTCTGATCTAGTGCGGGGGGTGAGTCCACAGTCATCTACAACGGGTCTATAAGGGGTCTACAGTGAGTCTCATTTGCTGCTGCTAAACACTGACCTGCATAACTACGATAGCAGGAAAAGGGGCTTTATCATGAAACAAACGTCAGTTATTTAAGGTAAAAGGTAATGTTTTAATTTCAAGCAATTCACCCTTTACGTAGATATTCCCATATGATGTTAATATTTAAATCCCATATGACGTAACACTTAAATCAAGTTTAAAGAAAACGCCCCTTGACTTGCTTTACAAAAATGATTACGTCTAAAGCAAAAACACAGCCAGGTGCTGACCCAGGGTCACCTCATGATGAGAAAATCTCAGTCCTAGGCTTGGAGAGTGGCCCTCAGTTTCCCCTCCCAACAGGGAAGGTCTTGACTCCGTCTCTCCATGAAACCTTCCCAGGTGAGGACGAGGGACTGCTCCCCCGCAAGCCTGGCTGACTTTCAGATACCAGACGCTGCCCCACTCTGGATTCTCCCCCTCTGGACTCTTCCCCCTCTGCCGCTCACCAGGGACCAAAGGCCCGTGGACTCCCACCAGAACACATGCAGCCCAAAGTCAGCAACTGCCTTGAGCCTCTGGGTGAGGTCAGAGGTGAGATTTTAGCACGCCTCAGCAGTGACAGAGGCCACTCGCACAGGATGCCCTTTCATACAACCTTTACCTCTGATTAGCTCTGAACTGCTTATCCCAGCAATCGCTGAGCTGGCGAGAGCCAAGGACAGGGCTGCGCGGGCGGAGGCGCGCTCTCCTGCTGCCCAGAGCCCCAGCGGCAGGCGCTGCACGCACGGCACGCCCTCCCCGCGCCCCCGCGCCCCACGTGCCTGCTCGCTGACCACTTCAGGAGTCATGTCTGGCACGAGCCTGATGGAGAACTTGCCGACCACCTTGCGAGGAATCACGGTCTTGGCCCCCGACCCAGAGAAGGCACCTTCGATCCCGTGGAAGGAGAGGGACGGGTACCGCCATCTGTGCATCAGGACGTCTTTCTGCAGAAAAACGACAAAGTGGGTCGGAGATGGCACCGCCTGCTCATGGAGGAGCTCGGCCGGCCTGGGGTCCACACACCGTCAGGAAGGCAAGAGCGACCCGGCAGCCGCTACAACAGCCCCCCAAGTGGGGGCCCTGCGCGTCCAGGATGGCTGCAAGCACGTCCTCTCCGCGCCTCCCAGTGAGTCCGCACCACCTGGGTCAACAGAACTGACCACACAGGAGCCACAGTGTTCTGGCCGGCCAGACGCATATGAGGGCTGTTGCAGAGCCAGGGGCACCAGGAGGGGGAGGGAGGCATGACCCCGGTCATCCTAGGTCCTGGGCTTACAGGACACTGAGGGTGGGGCGAGCTGCCCGAGGAGGGCAAGCCAGGCCGTGCACCACGTCCTAGGCCAGTGCCCACGGACAAGCCCAGCAGTTTCTGCCGCGGGGACTGGCACAAGGCAGCCCCCCATCTCGCGTCTACTTGACACGGCCCCTCTCGTCCCAGCGGTGGCACGCGACGTATCAGGAGAGGACACGCCGCCGCCCGAACCCCTGGGCTTCCTCGGCGACTCAGCACGTAACTCTGGATGTGTCTGTGAACCAAAGAGCCCAGTGACAGCCGGAAGGAGCAGACACGGCCCTTAAGCAGGCACCTCACGCAAAGGCAAACGTTACCGGCAGGCAGCAGGCCAGGAGGAAATACAAATGTGTCCATAGCCCAACCTTCCCCAGACTCGTCCCTCCCCCGGGACTAGTCTCTCTTGGTCACGGCGTCAGGACCTAACCGACTACCGTCCACGAGGGACCCGTCTCGGCTCTGCCTGTGAAATCCTTACTCCGCTCGGTCCTCTCCGATGTGTCCTGAGCCTGAGGGGTCCCAAGTCCTGCCTCCCCGTCCCCCCAGCGCCCCCTGCAGCCTCACGGCCCCCCAGCCCCAGTGCCTCAGCTCCTCTGCTGCCACACCCCCTGCCCACAGTCTGTCCCCAGCGAGGTCTCATCAGCGCGTCCCTCTAGTCACACCGCCGTCTTCCAGGACAGCGCATGAGCTCCTCGGCAGATCAGAGGCCTTTCCGTCAGGCATCTTCACTCCTAACCCCGGGCCTCACTGGCCGCCCACGAGCGGGACAGCTGAGCCCGCTCAGCCCCGCCTGTCTCCTGCAGGCCCCGTGGCACTCCTGTCTAAGGAGGCCTCCCCCCTGCCCCCAGGCGCCAGACCACCCCACCGTGGTTTCCGCACATCCCCTAAGCTTCTCTGCCCATCTGTCACCTGGAGAGGTGACACTCAAGGGCCAAGCCCGGTTGTGCCCCTCCTGCCTGCCCAGGGCCTGCCGCTGCGGCTCAATGAAAGCTTAGTTAACCACGTGAACTTACGTTCACACCTTAGAAACCAGGAACTAAGCTAATTAAGAGAAAAGTCACGACATGATTTTCTCCTGACAGTTAAGTAAACGTTTTGTGCAAATGGTTTCCACCTCAGCACCCAGCTCCATCAGGAACAGCTTAAATCACCTCTGGGCCAGGTGGTAAAGCGACTCCCCGCGCGTGCAAATGAGGAAAAGCCCCCGCCTCTCTGCAGACGTGCCCCAGCTCCGAGCTCTCCACAGTCGACATCTGACACGTTAAAGAGCTCCCAGCTCTTTATGCAGCCTCTACATGCAGCCTTCCGGCACCTGCACCGTCCGGCTGCTCCCGTGCCCGGGGTGCGCCCGAGTCCGCCCAGCCCTCAGCCTCCTCCCCGGGGCCCCAGGACCGGGGACGCTGCCAGCCCGGTGGGGGCAGGCCTCGCGGCGCCCGGGCAGCACCTTGCAGTCATGCAGCAGGGTCTCTGTCCCCACATCCCGGGCGTACTCCTCCAGGTCGAAGTCGATCTTGTCGTAGAGCTCCAGCTCCTCGTCTGTCACGGAGGCCACCGCCTCACTGATGCCGGGGACGAGGATCCTCCCCTTCTGGTCCATCAAGGAGCCTGGAGGAGCGAAGAGGATGGGCACTCGGCGTGCACGCACTTCTTAAGCTGTTTTGTTACCGTAACAACCCAGGGAGGAGAGCGGGGTCACCTTCCGTGTAAGATAAAGGGATGGAGACATGGAAGGTAGGTGAGCTGTCCACGGTCGCGGAGCAGGATACACACGGAGCAAACGGGCTCCTGCAGGCCCGCCCTGAAAACCACTCCTCTGTCCATCATGTCCTGTTTAAGGCACGTCCCACGAGAAACTACCTGCTCCCACGCTGAGGACGGAAAACCGAGTAGGGCAGGGTAGACTCCAGTCCCAGAAAAGTCGACTCCATGCAGGGCAGCCGCCGCCCGCCAGGGAAGGAAACAGGACTGAGCACACGGCGGGCCGAGGCCGTGCGCCGGGGGGACACCGGGCAAGGCAGCCGTGGCCTCGCTCTCAAAAGGGCTGAGTGCACAGGAGGCCGCTGCGGCCAGTCACAGTGTCAACTAGACTGAGGCAGATGACCTCCAGGGACGTAAGACACAACGGCGTCCAGAGGAAGGACGGCCGTGATGCCAGGTGACAGGGCAGGCGGGGTGCCCGAGTCGGGCCACGGAGACGACGTGGGGGAGAGGGGAGGCAGAAATGAAGCATGGGGGTCTTTTAAAGGGAACAGTCAGTCGGGGGCGGGGGAGGGAGGGACAGAAGGCATGAAGCAGCCTGGAAGCAGTGCCCACACCAACCTCCTGCCCAACTGCCACGCAGTGACGGAGCCCACGCTCACCCATCAGCATGATGAGGTCGGTCATGGCCTCGTGCACCGAGCCGCCGTACACGCCGGAGTGCAGGTCCCTGTTGCTGCATTCCACCTGCGGACACACGGCCACCCTGCTTGGCTGCTCACGGGAGCCCGTTCTTACCACGCGACAGTAAAGTGAGCAAAGAACATTCACACGACCATTTTCGAAATCAAAATGTGCTCCCTCAGCAAGCAAAGCAAGGTGCTTCCTAAATGCCAGAACTCTGGAAACGCCAACCACAGGAGAAAGCGTGGGCACCCAGAGCCCTCCCAGCTGCTCCCTGCACGACTCGGCACAGACCTCGATGAAGAAGTAGCAGATGCCCCGGAGCCCGTAGGTGATGCAGGGCTTGTTCTTCCCCAGCCAGTAGTTGTCGGAGATGCAGACGTAGTCCACATCCTTAAAGAACGCGTCCTTCTGGGCAAAGATCAGCGCGTCCAGGCCTTCGGAGCCAGACTCCTCCATGCCCTCCAGACAGAAGCGGACGTTGACGGGGACTTCCTGGGCAGGAGACCGGTGAAGGAAGGCACTCAGCACGCACGGACTTAGAAGCAACAGCCAGGGAGCCACCCAATGTTGTGAAGTCACGAATTTCAAATAACCGACTTCCTCCAGACCCACCACTGCGCAGGCTGTGTGTGGCCCACACAGACCCTCAGTACCCAGGCACTGGGCCACCAGGGGACAAGCGTGGCTTCGGCCGGTCACCCTTAGAAGGACTCCTTCCAAGGAGCTCCCAGCCTGACCACATGTGCCACTCGTCGGGGTCTCTGCGCTCACCCAGCGCGAATCTGCGTCTCCAGCAAAGCTGAGCCGCTCCCTCTAAAACAAAGGCCACGACACAGACAGCCAGAGCCTTCATCTGCGTGGCCACCAGCAGCGCATGCAAGAACGAGAGAGCGCTTCCCCCAGTTCAGAAGGCGCTCCACGCACTGCAGGCCCTTTTCCTCCAGAGCTGACAGTGACCCTAAGATGCCACCTGGCTCCTGCTCGGTGGCCTTCCAGGTCTCCCCAAGGCTGTGCTGTGAGGCACGTGGCCCTTCCACAGGAGAGAACGTGAAGCCACACCTGAGCAAGGCGATGCCAAAGGCCACGGAAGGCTGGGCCTGTACGGACTCATGTCTGCGGGGTCCTAGCTCAGAGCTGCCCCCACACAGTGCTGCTCACCACACGCACCGCCCCCCGGCCACTCCAGTGGAACAGGGGTGAGGGGAGGTGCGCTGGGCAGCTCTGCCCTGCACACGGCCACCCCTCTGCTTGGCCACGCGCTGATCCCAGGGGCCCTGGAGGAGAGGGGCCTTCCCAGCCCGAGCCCAGCTCCCTCGAACCCTTTTCAGATCTACCACCCCACGTCCCGACAAAAATGCTTGTCTCATCATTCTTATCGCAACACAAGATAAAAGCAAGATGCAGAAACTGCCTATACGTTATGATCACAATTAGATTAAAAAGAATTCTTGAAAAGATTGGTCAGTAACAAAATATTAAGTCTCTGAGGCCTGGATTCTAGGCACCTCTTTTTTCTCTCTACTTTTCTGTATTTTACAAACTTTCAACAAGGAGCAGATGTTTCTCTTAAGGAAATATATTTTTAAAAATCAAATTTACTTTTAGGAGGATAAAAACCACACAGAGAAAGTAAGGGTTTGTCGGCTAGCACAGGGCCTGGGTCATGCCCTGGCAAGCACCCACTTCCCAGGTGCGGTCAGAGCCCAGAACTCTCACCTGCCTGGGTCCCTGCTGAGTCACCAACAGGGTGACCTTGGGACAACTGTAAAACCAATGCACCTTTAATGTTTCCTCAAACTGGAAAACAACCTATAAACTGGAAGATGACCCAGCTGTGCTAATACAGTTTGGCGGGGGAAGCCTGCTGTCTCCTGGCCCGTGCTCTTTGATCTTTACGGGCTGTTCTGGGAACAGAAAGTCCCACTCTGCACCCCCAGGTGGAGCAGGTGAATCGGGCACTAGATGTGGGCAGCGTACCTGACACGTTTTCTGGAAGGCTTCCAGGGCGTTCATCCAGCCGGCCACTGGCCCCTTATCATCGGTGGCTCCTCTCCCGTACAGTTTGCCTGGAACAGCAACCAGCAAGTTCCTCAGGTGATGGTCGCAGCGCACAGAAAGGAGCATCTCTCAGTGAACATGTGACGACGTCCCAGCGCGACCCCACGCAGCCGTCCTAAGCCTCTTCCTCGTGTCAGAAGCCCCTTTCCATTCTATCAGAAGGCCCGAGTCTCCACCCAACACGATTGTTAGGATCTTCCAGAGAACTCGCCCAATCTAAGAGCAGCGCGGGAGTGCAGCCAAGGTCCCCGCCACCTCAGGGCACGGGCTGCAAACCCAGCTCCGCGGGACCACTGCCACTTGGCTAGTGTGTTAAAATCCAGTCCACAGCCAGCCAGCAGCAGCGGGTGAGGGAAACCTGGCTGGATGCAGGTGCACCGACCAAGGAGAACCACAGTCTCACCCACACCACAGCCCAGTTTGATGAAGAACAGGACTGACGTTCGTCACGTACCTCTCTAGGTTATCACTAAAGGACAGGATGTTGCCCCTCCCCAGTGTGACCAGTCACCTCCCCTCTGCACAGCCACCTCTGGGACCCCCGTACAAAGGCGGGTGTCTGGGCTAGGCGTTGGCCACCTTGAAGGACACGAGGGAAAGAAGCCCAGACCCCCCTCCCGGACCGGACGCAGCGTAAGGCCCGAGGGAGGCCAGAACCCCGGGCGCCGCGTGCTCAGGGGGCCCCTCCCGGCCTCAGTCTGTCCCGGTCGGTCGGTCCTCTGTTCTCCTCACCCTTAGCCTGTTTTCAACGTTCCGCAGGTCAACCTGACCCGCCCCAAAGCGGGCGTGTGGGGCTTAAAGCCATCACTGCCTTGGGGATTTCTTTTTTAAACTAAATCTGCCTTTCACAAAAGCTAAAGAGCTCTTCTAAGACACATCCTCATCCCTGTGGCAAACACTGACCAAGCGACCCCAGGGAGCGGGGCTGTGCGGGCCGAGGCGGACAGAGGCCGAGAGCGCCCACTCCCGGCCCGACACGCCAGCAGCCGTGTGGGGGCAGCTTCTCCGGGCTACGGGGCGCTCCAGGTTCTTCCATCCTGCGTGTCTGCGTGTCTGTCTGGGGGTGGGCTGTCAGGGAGGGGCTGAGCAGTAGGAGACCAGGGCTGGCACAGGAGGAGGTGCAATGAGGGGAGAGAAGATGGGGCCCACTGGGTCCCCCAAGAGGCACCGCTGTGGGGCAGGGCGGGAGGTGGTGCAGGACCCGCCTCCACAGGCCAGGGGAGGGCCTTGCAAGGGGAAGAGAAGGGGCGGGACAAGGATGACCTCCGGGGGGTCCTGGTGCAGAGGGGAGGGGAGGAGGGGCGTCGCTGGGAGAGAGGAGAGGGGATGAGAGGAAGGGCGGGGGCCCAGGCCCTGGACTGAGGACACGTTAGCAAGCGCACCCTGAGGACCGCTGTGCACAGCAATGACGTGACTGTCCCTGAGCTGGGGAAGCTCCAACAGAAACTCAGCGTGTCCCGCAAGAAAGGCTTTACTTAAAGATGGTCTGGACCCGGCCCAAGGGGATGAGGCACAAACGAAGGGGCTGCTCCATGTGGCGAAAGGCTGCATCCAGTGCGGAAACGTGAAGGTTCAGTGAGGAAGGCAGGAGGAGCCTTTACCTGGGGCAGGTTGGGGGGCAGCAAGAAGAGGGGCCAGTGCGGGGGGCCGTGAAGAGGTGCGCGAGGTGCCCACAGGGCCCAGCCCAGGAGCCCTCAATGGCTTCGCTGAGCCATCACTGCCATCCTCACCAGGGCAGCAGGCATTGGGGAAAGGCCGACGCTTCCCTAAACCCTGACGGGAGCTGCTAAAATGTGCCACGGAAGCAGCTACGAATCGGATCAGATTTGGATCCCAGGTTTTGGGAGGCTGCACCGCCTCAATTCAGATCGGGCTTCCTGGGAAAGTGTCAGCAGGAGAGGGAAGCCCAGCAGGCCCAAGGCCCCAGAGACCTGGTTCCACAAAGAAAGGAAGGCTTTTGGAGGTTTCAAGGATGGATGCACATGCATGAGGCTTGCAGAACCCAATTTCTAGATCGTGTACAAACAGCCAGCTCTGGAAAGACAACCCAGAGGCCACGGGTGTACCTCCTAAGCAAATGCCACAAGTCCTCTTCCTCGGGGAAGCGTCCCTACCGTCTCGCTCCACCAAGGTGAAGGGCTCGCTGTCCCAGCCGTCCTCCAGGGCTGCCGGCTGCACGTCCAGATGTCCATAAATGCACACCGTTTTCTTCTGCGGGTCGGAGCCCAGTGTGCCGAGTAAAATGGGCGGAAGTGGTATCTCCGAGCCATCAGGGAGCTGGGGGAGGAGAGGAGGCCGTGGAGGACAGGCTTTGTTTGAAGAGGGTGGTGTTGACAGCAGATGTTATCAACGTGCCCTGGACAATCTTATGTGTCCTCATCAACTACTTCTATTGCAGAGCTCAAGATCATACTGTTCAACCGAGTCATTAATTAACAAGAATACACTTTCCCATAATCCGGAGCACAGAGACTGGACTACGGCCATACCACCCCGAACGCGCCCCATCTCATCAGAGCACAGAGAGTGAATTACGTTTACCAACTGCAGGTGGCTTGGTCAATTTTTAAGGTTGATTTTCAAAAAAAACTTTTATGTAACAAAACATATTACAAAGGCTGAGTTTGGGATGCAGCTTAGTTCATTATTTTCTAAAATAATGTATAAAAACTACTGTAATCTTAAAGCAGAAGATACACTTTGAAGTTTTTTATGTAAATTACAATCATGCACAGAAAGGGCCGTAGACCAGGGTATGAGGAACTGCAATTTGCAGTAGGCCACACTGCATCAAGCCGCAGTAGCTGGGACTCCTTCTGAGCCTTCTCCCAAAGGCCGTAGCCTCCCAGTCCCCTAAGAACGGGGTACAGATATTAATCACAGGATTCCCTCCTCATCTAGGGGAGAAATGCAGGTGTACGAAGGCAAGTCAGTGCCAAGCCCCACATCAAACTCCGGTCCCTTCCAACACTCACATCAGCTGGGCGTCTGCACCTTTCATGGTAAACCACGGCCCACTAAAGGCCCTGCAAAATATCCGGCACCCCATCCTCCTCGCCCTTCCTGCAGTCCAAGAGGACAACCCGAGGTCCTTTACAAAGTGCCACCAACGGCAGGGAGGGTGAAAGGAGCACGTCCTGAGTTTCAACTGCAAGAGCGAGGATGAGTCACAGAGGAGCCATCACACACCTGGGTGTCAGGCTAGTTATTAGAAAACGCTCTGAAAACATACGTAACTAAACAGAACACACAAACCTAACTGGTAATGAAACTATGGTAACGACTTACAATTAAGAGGTAAAATGAGCAGCAGCTAAAACCGACAAGCAAATCAGTACAAAGCTGGTGATGGGCCGGTATAAGTGTCCTTCTCCAAACTCCCAGGGGCACTAAGCACCTCTACGTGTCCGCGCACGCATCAGGGAACGTTCCAGGCCGCCAAGTGCTCTCAGGATACAGGATCTGTCTTTCCAGTACACCCGACTCATAAATGCCAACTTAAGTAACTGCTGCTGACCCTGCAGCTGCCCATGCGCAATCCTGGACTCCACCTCGCCACACACGCATGCGAGCTGCCCTGGGGCTGTGTCCTCGCGAGGACGGCCTGTAGCCACCAGGGCAAAGAACCGTGGTCGAAACCAAATGCCCTGACCTGGTCACACAAGACACAGAGCGCTGCGGTCCCAGCTGGCCCTTAGCTCGCCTCATAGGAAAGTGATTTTTAAACAACAGACTTTCTCTAAATAAATCTCTGCTCCAGGCAGCTCCTCCGAAACACTTCAGCATTTTCTAAGAAGCCACCTGGGCCCAAAGATATTCATGCCGCAAATTGCAAATCTCTCTCTGGGCTTCCCCACTTACTCAGATGTCACAGGACAAGGCCTGGGCGAGGGACACAGTGATGTGTTTACAGGGAGAACGCGCTGTCCTCTCCCAGCACCTGTCTAGGCACAAGTCTGTGACACGGGGTCCTCGTGTCTCCCTCCTTTCCACCCATTCTAACAGCCACCACACGAGTCCAGCTCCCAACCCCTGACCCACTGCACCGGCGCCGGGGGCTCTTCCGTCACTGCTCTGCTCACGAGCCATGACTGTCCCATTTGCTGAGCTCCTCTGTCTGGCGCTTGGGCCCTCAGGGACGGGGCCCGCCACCGCCCGGGGCAGCGCTGGGCTGCAGGCAGGCCGGACGTGACGGCTCCTGCACCGACCCTGGCAGGGAGGCCCCAAGAGCCCCAAATCAGCCCTCCCACCATCACACTGGCCCTTGAGCCTTGCCCAGCAGGGACCAGGCTCCCAACATCATCTCTCTTCCGTGAGCCTGAAGGTACCCCAGCTTCTGCGCGTTCAAGTGCTGACAGCCACCCCACACCTGCCCCAAGCCACCACCACCTCCAGAAAAGGGCAACACCGCTGCCAGATGAACTGATGGGCAGAGGGGACCACACGCGCTATGGCTGCGCCCCACGAGGACCTCGGCAGAGCTTCTCTAACAATGATGAAAGCTGCCAACTCCTTCCCTGATAAAAGTAGGCATCATGGAACTCAAATAGTGTGGCAGTCATTTAGTCTTTCATGGAAGGTCCTTTCTGAAGAACCGCACTGTTACATCCGTGTTAAACAAAATAGATCCATATATTTTACCAAAACAACTCTTAAAAATTATTTGCCACCTAGATTTTTTTTTTAATGTATTAGGAAAAAAGGAAGAGGAAGCAAGTCAAGTATGCTCCTAACAGAAACTAACTCAAAGAAACTTCGTTTAGCCTCTCATGAGTGGGCAAAGTGCCAGGAAGCTCTAATGTGTCTTAAGTAATCTTCAGTTAACTATTAAGTCTGTGGTCAGAAGAAATCTCACACAAACAACACTGGACTGGGAATCGGAAGGCCCAGATGTTAACCTCCTTTGCCATGGGCCTTTTATTGGTTCCCAGGGAGACAGAGCCCACCTGGGCCTCTGGGTCCTTCCATTTATGAAAAGAGCTGAGTGTCCATATCTGAAATCCCAGGATATGGTTTCAACGGACACATAAATCATCAGGCAAGAGAACCAAGATAAACCAAACCTAGTTACCACTGCAACACAAAAGAGCGTTGCAAACTTTGAAAATGCATGCCATGAGACATGTAATTAACACGGGACTGAAATCATCTGAAAGGAAAACAGTGGAATAATGCACCATAAAGTGAGACTGTTCATTCAAGTTAGAATCTGTCAGAATCCTGCATTAAAATGCAACTGAGCCCCAAGTCCCACACATAAAGTAGCCCTTTTCCAGGAACCAAGTCATGAAAAGTGCTGTTTCTACCAACAGGGGACACAGTGGGTGTGAGTGGGAGTCTCCATTAGTTTTGCATCTGATTGGCAAAGAGCAACTTCCTGGTCTGAAGGCTGACTGACTTCTGGGAAGGAATGTCAGTTCGCCTCAGAATGGCCATTATGTTAACTTCTGCTTAGATAACACTCAACAGTTCTCCTCCCTGGAGAACAGTGATGAGTATCACAAATCTCTCTCTAATCCAGCTCAAGAAATCACACAGTTTAGCATCCAAATCAGGCCTTCTTTGTTTGTTTGAAAGACCAGCAGGTTATCTGAAGCGAAGACGTGTAAGAACTAGCCTAGTCCTATCAACTCCTCAGTAAACCTGCTTGCTGTGGCTCTGCAGCACGGAGAGTGCCGGCCACCTACCTTCTGGTTCCCAATGTCCACCAGCTCCACGGAGCCCCCCAGCTGCTTGATGTCGGCAGCGGCGACCTCCATCATCCTCCTGATCTCACCTCTCTTCTCCGGCCACGCAGACACGCTCTGGATGGCCACCCATTCCGCAAGCTTCTGTTTGTGGATAATAAGCAAATGGGATTCTGAAAAGGTGCTCCTTGAGGAAGGAAAGTACTCACAAGTGTGCCACTGTCAGGCCCACAGAGGTCACTTGCTACCTGCGGCCACTCCATTTGGAACATGCTGCCCAGACACAGAAGAAGAGCTCCATGGCATCTGCTTTTTGCTTAAGATATAAAGGGACTGCCTGTACTGACACTACACCAAGAACTATACAGCATGACAGGAAAATCGTTAACCATTAAGCGTGACGTGAGTGTAACATGTACAAAGTTCCACAAACACGTTTATATCTGCATCTGACAAAATTACAACTGAAAGATACAGAAAATACCCAATATTTTCAGAGTCCAAGTTGGCTTATTTATCATCCTGACGATGGCCAAGTTCTCCAAAATATAAGTTTTGGAATGAGAACTCGAAAGATTTCACCTGAAATATGTCTACCAAGGGCGATTTTAACGTATGATTCTTTAAGTTAACATCAAGAAACAGATTAATGCATAACATTACCAAATCATTTAAAACATGCTAAATGTAAAATAGTTCTTTATATCTATCACAAGAATAAACAAAAATCTTCAATTAGCTTTGCCATTTCTAGAAACATGTATTAAGAGTTTCTGTCAAAAGCCAACTTATATACTGTAATGAGAAAGCAGAGGAAAAGACCTCTAGACAATACACATTTTTCAGTTACTTTTTATTTTTTTTTTTTAGTTACTTTTTTTTGTGGTTAGAACACTTAAGATCTACTCAAGTACACGATACAGTATTGCTGACTATAATCACCATGCAGTACACTGGATCCCCGGAACTTACCCATCTTGTAACGGAGGTTTGTACCCTTTGGCCAACACCTCCCCAGTTCCCCACCCCCCGACAACCACCGTTCGACTCTCCACTTCCCTGAGCGCAACTTTTTCAGATTCCACACGTGAGATCACACTAGCGTTGGTCTTTCTCCATCTAGACAGTATTTTTAACACTTGATTAGAACAGCATAATTCATGTTAGCTTCTTGAAAGTTTCTCTGGGTGCCATGGAATTAAACTGAACTTGAACGCTCACTAGAATAAACATTCCCTTACCTTAACGTAGCGATCCTGATTCTCATCAACGTACTTAAACAGGGCAGTGAGGGCCGACATCTTTCAACCAGACCGCAGACCTTGGAGATTCTTGGAAGGAAGAAGAATCTGTCAGTGCTGCCTCGAGACAGGGTCCAACTGATCAACAGGCCTGGAGGCACTTGTGCAGGATCATAAACTGTACTCCACCCCCCGACCAGCACTGGATGCAGTCGTCACGAGGACTCCAGCAAGTGACCTCGGCAGATACAGTGGTTCTGGAAAGCAGTCAGAGGCTCAGGCTGATCTCCATTCTTTTTTCAGAAGGAAAAGGTACACAGAATTGTGTGTCCAAATGGAAGGTAATCGAAGGAAGGACCTGAGTTGAAGACAATCTGATATAAATTAAAAGCAGGTACTCCCCAGGAGCACTGACATACCGGCATTTTAAAACGTTTCTTAAAATTTAATTTTACTCTCTTAAAGCCCACAACTTCCCCTTACTATTACCACAGAGGAAATAATCACTCCAAGGCTCCCAGCAAAAATGTCACATCTTGTCTCTCTGCCACAAACCAACAACACAGCAAACAAAGCCCGAGGAGAGGGTCGTAATTCAGCTTAAGGAAACTGACAGCCTGGGCCCAGAAACAGCCAAGACAACGTACGAAACTCCACTAGGGCCCGATTAAGATTAAAGAAACTTCCAGCCTCCCAGCTGCATTTTCTAACATCCAGTTTCTGCTCTGTGCGACCCAACACGTCCTGCTCCACCTTACAAATACAGGGGAAAAGAAATCATGTGACCCATCATCTGTTTTGTTTGTTTGGCCGTGTCTCAAGGCATGCAGGATCCTATTGATAGTTCCCCAACTAGGGACTGAGCCCATGCCCACTGCAGTGGAAGCTCGGAGTCCCAACCACTGGACCGCCAGGGAAGTCCTGACTCATCTTTAAAACCTGGAATCAATACGAAGCACAGAAAATCCTGGAATTGGCACCTTCAAAATTGGTTCTCCCCCCTTCCTCCAACTGACAACTCAGGTTCCATCACGTGGCAAGACTCAAACCTCAGCAGTGACAGGAAGAAAGTGCTCAGGGACAGGGAGCAAACTCAGCACCACAGTGACAGGAAGTATTTCAGAACTGCAGCTGCAGAGTCACAAGACCCTACTACATCTCTGTAGTTACGGAGCAGGACGCCAGAAAAGCGCCCGCATGTGGACACACTGGAGTTAAAGAGCATCTTTTTCTTGGTGTAGGATTCTGAAGTGACTTCTAAAGACAGGAGAGACTTTATCCACTGAGACATGAAGCCTGGCAACAGATCGAGGAAGTGCAGTGTGAGTTCAGTAAGGTCAATCCTCTTCCCACACCCATAAAAGAGCATACAAACCTTCCAGCCAACTCAGAGGGTTTCAGCTGAGGCTCTTACCTCAAAGACAGGGATCCCTGAATGCAGAGGCACAGCATACAAGTCAAAGTTTTCAATCACAAAAGAAACCCTATTTAGCAGGACAACATGCTACATCAGGTACTTTTCATTTGAGTTTCTGGTCATTAAATCCCACACTCACTGTGATATATTCTCATTAATATTATGTTCTTTGAGGCCCAATTAACCAATGGCCTTCCAGCAAAAGTCAAAGATTCAACTATCTAAGCTGCACCTTTTATCAAAGGAGAGTAAACAGAGACCGAGACCGACTGTTCAGCTCTGCAGGCCGCCTCACCAAGGCTGGAGAAAAAGCACCTGCTCCTCTGAACTGCTAACCCAGTCAGAGAGGTCAGGCCAGGTCCATTTCTCCTTCCCACTCACAGTTCTGGTTATTCCCGTTTCACCACCACTTCTTTTTTTTTTTCTTGCGGTACGCGGGCCTCTCACTGCTGTGGCCTCTCCCGTTGCGGAGCACAGGCTCCGGACGCGCAGGCTCAGCGGCCATGGCTCACGGGCCCAGCCGCTCCGCGGCATGTGGGATTTTCCTGGACTGGGGCACGAACCCGCGTCCCCTGCATCGGCAGGCGGACTCTCAACCACTGCGTCACCAGGGAAGCCCACCACCACTTCTTTTATATGCCCTGGTGAACTCCATTTATTAGGGTGAAAGCACTGAGCTGGAGTGAGCAAAAGCAAATATTTGCCTTCTCGAAAGAAATGCCAGCCTCACTCTCCTCTTGGAATCTAAGGTTCTGGGGAGTAACATGACTTCAACAGTGAAACTAGTGTGAGAGGAAGAAGTGATACGGTAGCACCTGGAACCACCTAGCAATGCCTACGGATGATTCTCCCTGTTCTGAGTGTCCCCATCCTGTCCCGCACTGATTCAAGGCACATGGTACCCTAAACAAACGCCTGAATCATGGCTTCAAATCTGTGTAAAACCACTGAAACAGCTGTGGAGACGTCTGGTTTGCCCAATCTAGACCTTCAATCCAAACGTACAGTTCTACAGAATTACTTCTCGCCACCCCTCCCTGCAAACTCCAGGGACGACAAAGGCATGAATAAAACCTGCACCAGATCACTGAGCCAGCACTAGGATCCCGTGTCGGCGGCGCGGGCGGCTCGCAGGCCCTGCCCGCGAGGCCCAGGGTCTCAAGGACTCGGTGCAGGCCGAACCGGGACCAGGCATCACTCCACTTGACAGGTGAGAAAACGGAGGCTGCCTGAGAGCTGCCAGCTGCAAACTCCCAGCCTTAAATGTGGGCGGGGTCTAGAGACCCCTGACCCCGGGCCTCTGACCCCCCCCCCCGGGCTCTGGCCGTCCCGCGACACCAAATTCAGGCTTCCGCCAAGGGCTCTGCTGAAAAAGACAGGCTTTAGTTTTCTGCGGGCCTCGCCGAGGGAGGGTCGAAAGACCGGCACGCGCGCGTCCTCCCCGCAGCCCCAGAGCCCGGACCCCCAAGCGGGCCTTTTGACCCGACACCCTCTTCTCCCGTCAGGCTGGCCACACGCGAAGAGGGCCTGTGTCCTCGGCCCCACAGCCGCGCCCAGCCTCCCCTGCTCCCCCGGAGGCGGCCCGGGGCCCCACGCTCCCGGCCTCCGCCCCGCTGCCGCCGCCCTCAGGGGCCTCCCCGCCTAGCGGTCCGTGACAACACCTCACCAGCCCGCCGCTGCCGCCTCGCCGCTTCCGTACCACGTGCCCCGGTCACGCCCCCGGCGAGGGCCCGCCCCGCCCACCAATCCCCGCCCTTGTCCGGAGAGCTGGCGTCGCCCCGCCCCCGCCGCCGTGCCGTCCACCAATCGCGGGCCTTTCTGGAGACGGCGTCGCCCCGCCCCCACGGTCGCCCCGCCCCTCCACTGAGAGGTACGGGGGCGGGGCGGACGGGGGCGGGGCGGGGGAGCGGGGCGGACGGGGGCGGGCTGAGACCCAGGGAGGCGGGGCTCCGAAGCACCTGCCTGGGCGGCGACATCCTTCCGTCCACCGCCTAGTGCTTTCAAGGTGAGGTCCGAGAAGAGGTCTTTAGTGCAAGGTGGTCCGAAGTGGGGGCGCCCACACACACCCCAAACCCTCCCGCCGAAAGCTCCCGTCCCCGCAGGCTCCTGAGGGGCGCGCGTTGCAATTTCACATACCTTTGGCACTTCGCTCGCCAAGCCTTCACCAGTACCATTGCTGAGAGGGGGAAATATTTTAGTATTTAGTCTTCCAATAATCCTAGGAATTAATGAAGAAAGTAGACCCACCATTCAGCATCTACTACTTCTCTTTTTAACCCTTACAAGGATCCTTGGGGGTACGATTATCTCCGTTAGAGTATTCCCCCAAAATTTGGCAAAACTTTTACCCCTCCCACATTCTTTGTTGTTTTAATAACAAGTTTAATAGTTGCAAGGGATGTAGTTTCCCACACCCTGTAAATATTTTGAAAGAAACTATTTTGAAATAAATTTTTACATGGTTTGTTTTTCCTTCGAAATTCTATTTCCATCCATATCCCTCACAGAATTTTGTCAAATTATAACACGTTTATACTTGAGAGTCTTTTATTGATGATACTATCATACTTCTCTGCAACAGAATATGTATAAAAATTTAAATTAGTATTTACTTTACTATAGCTAGAAAGTTCTACGTGTTAAATCTTTCCTCTGGGCTAAATTCTCATTACAATTATTAGTAGTACATGATTGATTTAAAAAAACACCTACATATATTATACGCTTTGGTAAAGAACTTTTAGCTATTTAAAGTAATTTATTGGAAATATATCCTTTACTCATATCTATTAGGCTTTAAAAAAATTAGTTCAGTTATCTATAAATGAGATTATTGCTCGAATGAGACAGGATTCGGTGAAAAACACAGCCAAAAACAGTAATTTAGAATAAAATCCATAATACATTACTCATATATTAAAATTTTATGGGCATGTGGTAGAAATAAATAAGAGCAAAGAGGAAGCTTGGGTCCAAGTAAAAAGTGAATGTGCATTTACAGTAGCTAATAATCATTTGACAAAAGTTAATGAAAATGTTTCTCCTGCAAATCTGAATAAAAGTTAAGAAAATGCACAATTTAATCTTGATACAAAACTCTTTTACTTGGAAATATAATGTTAATTGTCAGAAGGTGGAACTTTCTATCTCCTACCCCCTGAAATAAAGCAAAACATGCAACAGACAGGTGGTCTTGAGTGAGGAGGCGTTCTCCAATAACATACTTTCAAACTGTATTTCAAATTGTCCCTTTGTTTGGAGCATTTTGGCTTTTAAAGAGGCAATAAATGTACAGCACTTAGAACGATGCCCGGGGTTGAGTGTCTGGGTCTGCTTAGGCTGCTATAACAGAATGTCAAAGACTGGATAGCTTATAGATAACAGAAATATATTTCGAACAGTTCTGGAGGCTGGAAGTCTAAGATCAAAGTGCTACCAGGTTCAGTGTCTGGTGAGAGCCCGCTTCCTGGTTCATGGACACTGTCTTTTCCATGCAACCTCACATGGCAGAAAGCTCTCTGGGGTCTCTTTTATAAGGACGCTAATCCCATTAATGAAGGTTCTGCCCTCATGACCTTATCACCTCCCGTAAGGTCTAATGCCAAATACCATCCCCTTGGGGATTAGGTCTCAACATATGAATTTCGGGAGGACACAAACCTGCAGTCTGTGTAGCTCTGTCTTGTAAAGGAATGCAGGAAGGCAATAAGGACAGCAGGTGGCTCCACTGCCGGCAGGTTCTCAGGTTTATCTGCTGTAGGAGAGAGAAAACATGGAATTGGGGCAGCTGGAAATTGGTGCCCTTAAAACTTTCTGAACTCTTCTTCAAAAGTCTTCTTGTGCCCATGGGTATTTCAGTCTGAAGACCACTGCCTTACCCAGCGATTAAGTAAATGAGCTAATATTTAAACCTAAGGGTACACAGCTGGAAATCTCCAGCAGGTGGCGATGCAATCCAGTCCTTGGGTAAAGGATGCTTTGCAGATTGCTCGGTATTGACAAATCTGATCTTAGTTTAAAGAGCTAAGTAAACAGGTTTCACTTCTTTGCTGGATTTTTTGGGGGAACAGGGACACTATGAGAGAAGACAAAGAAAGAGTTATGTGGTCGGGTGACCAGAGGTTGGGTGCTTCAGAAAGAGAAATGACATGACTTATTCTGAGAACGTAGGGAATACCACCATCACGAAAGTTACTATTGATTGCAGATCCATTGATACATTAGATCGTGCTTCCAATCACCACGATTTTCAGTTCCCAGCACGGTCACAGAGCTTAGTCTCCAGACTCCCAGGCAGCTCTGTTTAACCAAGCGTAACTAAGCACACAGACCATGGGAGCACCCATCACCCTGGAAGTTTGAGAATTTTCCTGAGCACAGGGGCCACTTTGGAAAGCCTAACTGTTCTCAGAAACCCAGATGCAGAGACGTGGTAGGTCACCACGTTAGATGCCTGCCAAGTTGGATGGCACAAACAGAGAACAGCGGGCGAGGAGGCTAGGAGGGGGCAGCAGACGCCAGCCTTGCTCCACACGCCTCAG